GTCCCCTTGTGTGTTATGAAGGTTTTTATGCATGTAAACGGTATGCAGAGTCACAAACCCTCAAAGTACACCCTGTAGCGAGTAAAACTCTAACACAGAAAATACCTCCCCAAAACGCCTCGTTGGAGATACGTCATTGTCCATTTGATTCTTCCATTTCGTTCCGGGTACGGCATGATGTCAAGCTGATTTCTCCTCCCTGGCTGCAGGCTGATAACAGACAGTTGGGATCGCGGCGAAATTCTCTCTGCAGACCCATTCTCACAGCGTTTATCAACCTTTTTCTTACTCAATATCAAGCCACACTTATTGTTTTTAATCCGGCTGTGAGTTTGTGTGTGCTCAGGATGAGTTTGGCTGTGTATCGCTAACAAGGAAACAACACCTCCACGGAGCTCAGCGCAATTCACAACGTCCCGACCAATCAGAGCACACTGTGCTCACAGGGAGGGTGGGGGCTGGAGCTATTGGAGCTACAACGAGCCGTTAAAGGCAGAGAGTGAAATTCAGTGAATACACGTAGTTTACAGAGATGCTGTATGAGAAACCAATGTGAGTTTGGAAAATTGCACAATATAAATCTATTCTAGTATACCTCAACAATGGAATTATGATCAGTGGAAATGGCCATGACATGGGCCCTTTAAAACTAAATTCAAGTTGTAGTAAGTAATGCAATTGGCGTGATAACTTAATTGTTCTACACCTTGAGGTAAGGGTTAAGGATTTCAAGTCCACTCCCACTTAACATGCCTGGACAAGTTCCGACAGTTAAGACAAATAGAAATACTATGACTACTACGACAAAAGATGACACTCAGCTTAAAAATGTCCTTTGTATATATACAAAGGACATTTTTAAGCTGAGTGTCATCTTTTGTCATTCAAACAGATAGCCTTGTAGTAGCACTGTATAGGCAAATTGCTGTTTGACCAAAATTAGCAGCCTTTGAACTGTGAATAGTTCTGTGAGAGGGTACAAAGTACTAGAGGCTGCTGTGAGTGTAAAAATACTTTGGTTACTATTGTGATATAACTTTTTATTAAAAAAAAAACTTGGTGAAGCAGATCAATATGGGCTCAGAACAGTCTCATAATACACACATGCACACAGAAGGATTCACACTTGTATTTCCGGATCCACACTTGTGTTTTTCAATGCACACACAAATGTGTTCCGTTTCATATACATGTAAATAAAATCCAAATACAGAAAAAAGTTTTACATATGTATTTTTGATCCTCACATATTTGTTTTCCGTTTAAAACCGCTGCACCTGCAAACACAAACCGCTTTCTGTGCATGGATCGCTGTGCATTCGTGTGTGGGTTTTTTGAGACTCCCCTGACGGTCACCCGATTTGTACTTGTAATTTGTTCTATCTATAGCCAATCAGATGTCTCCTCAATTCTAAGCCAATCACATGAGCGCGCCCCCACGAGGGTATGATTTATTGCGTTCATGACGTAGCGCTTCATGTACGCATTTTGCGCTGTCCATGGAGCCTGCCTACAGGTGCTAATCTCAGGACACCTCCACTCTCAGTACATTGCCACTTTCCGAACAAGAAATGCACGCAAACACAAGCTTTTATATATATTATTAAGGTACAGCGCCACTTCCCGTGGGTGCTAGACAGTGAACTGTCAACGGGGGGAGCCTCGCTGCGGGGAAACGGTGGACCTCTGTTGCCTGTCAAAGCAACTTCAGATGGTCAGTCCACCCCTGCCGGTACCGAGGTGGGCAGATCGGAGCGGCCCGACCGGCCCACTTCGGTACGTCTCGATGGCCAGTCCGCCACTGCTTCGGCATACAGTATATGTGTTGCACGGCCAGATACGGCTCGAGAAGCTGACTCAGATGAATGAGGCGAGTAAACAGCTGACAGCCGGCAAGAAACTCGAGCGATTATTCGCATCGCGTCCGGTGTGAACGCACCATTATTACAAGTATTATATAATTACAAAATAAAATCGCCACTCTCAGTACAGCGCCACTCTCCGAACAGGTAGTGCACGCAAATAAAATATTTTATATTATTATTATTATTATTATTATTATTATTAATAATAATATATATATAAATAAAAACATCTTGTATTTTAGTTACACCCGCTATTGATTAATTTAGTCAACATTGGACCTTGACACCGTCCACATAGCTATAGTGAAATAATATAATCGAAAACATTAAGCCTCTTTGATTTAATAATTGGAGCTGAAACCTCTCTGCCGTCTCATACAACACACACTTCCTTATTTATCTTTGAATAATAATACCGTAAAAATAAAGACGACTATGCTACGGTCCTTCGGTCCTGAGATTAGCGCCTGAAGGCTCCATGGACCGGTCAGCTACGGACAGCGCAAAATGCGTATATGAAGTGCTACATCATGAACGCAAGAAATCATACCCTCATGTGATTGGCTTTGAATGAAGGAGACATCTGATTGGCTATAGATAGAACAAATTACAAGTACGAATCGGGTAACCATCAGGGGAGTCTCAAAAAACCCACACACGAATGCACAGCGATCCATGCACAGAAAGCGGGTTGTGTTCGCAGGTTCAGAGGTTTTAAACGGAAAACAAATATGTGAGGATCAAAAATACATATGTAAAACCTTTTTCTGTATTTGGATTTTATTTACATGTATATGAAACGGAACACATTTGTGTGGATCCGGAAATACAAGTGTGAATCCTTCTGTGTGCATGTGTGTATTATGAGACTGTTCTGAGCCCATATATCAAGGACATGCTTCTTGAGTATAGGATCGTTATTTAGAGTTGTCATTGAAATGCAAGTTGTTGGCAGTCACCCATTCAGAATATATTAATTTAGGTAATTTCTCTTTTTTTCCTTTTTCAAAAATAGCACAATACAATTGAAGTACGCAGAGAACTATAGCCATCCGCTGCCTTGTCGTGTACCTTGGAGAAAAGGAAGAGGACCTTTTCAAGGAGTTTAGCGAAGTAATTAAAAATCTTGAAATAAAATAAAATCCATGGGCACAGTGTAAAAACAGTGTCAGTTACATTTTGAAGCATATTGCACTTTTGGCCACACCCCAATCAATAATATCTTAGCAACGTTCAGCATGGATAGGTGTTGACAGCAATGGCATGGGAAAAGGATTGTGTACAATTTGAAAAGTGGCTTCTGCTCTTCACTTAACCAGTTCAAATATTGCATGGAACCTGCAAAAAAGATGAGAAGGTACTGTACACTAAAACTTGCACGGTTGTGATTGAAAGAATCTGTCCACATGCATTTAAACACTAGGCAAAGTACTCGAAACCACCTCTGTGTGTCTTCAGGACCACATTGCCATGATGACACACACATGCAGAATCAATAGGTGAAAACAAGACCAGTGTTGCTTTAGCAGCTGGTAATAATGGCTCTGAATTCACTAAGAGGGACAGTTTAAAAAGTATGCAATTACCTAATTCATTATCTCTTATGCGCTAACCTATTATTTAATGTGCTTCAAAAGGACATGAATATCGCCATCATCAGTGACCGGTCCACCCCAGCATCTGACCATACGATGGCAACCATCGTGGTCGAGGGAAACAAATGAATGGGCAAGCATTCTGCGTTAAATTTGTTTATACTGTTTAAAATAATGACTCTCGGCAGTGTAAACATCTTTGTTACATCTTTTGTAAAATTGATGTGTGTGATCTGCAGATTGGTGGCCATTGAGAGTTTGTTACTGTAGTTTTACAAAAACTTTACAGATTTTACATATTTGGCACTGGTTTTAAATATGCAAAGGCCTCTAACTTCGAAGTGATGGCAGCATTTATTTGCTGTGTCCCCATTTCCCATGGTAATATGGCTGATGTGTTTATTTATTATTTGTGGGGCAATTTAAATTTGTGTTATTTATCTTTTTTTTCTCAAAATGTAAATGAAGCTCAGCGCAAGTTCTTTCAGGAAGACTGGTATACATTCACTCCGCAGCTGCATATAATCAGCTCATCACAGGCGTTGTCTTTAACCTATTACATTTCACCTCATTCTCCAGCAGCCAATCACTGTGCTGCAGACAAACTTTAAAATGGTTCTCCTCTCTCCTGCAGTCAGCTGTGATTTCAGGTGTTCGTGCTGCCGCCCGCCTCCTCCCCATCCACCTCCTTTCATCACATCCAGTGCCAGGAGAGTTAATCCAAAAACCTCATCCCACCTCCTCTTCATCCCATCTGCTCATCAAATCCAGATCTTCAGCATCATCACCAGTGTCTAGACCCCGGGGGGGTTCCCTATGCTCACGGCTGCATTTCCCCTTTAGATATACGATTTCAGGATCGGGGTCTAATCACCAAAGACTTAACATTTATCATATGACATGTGTCAATAAATGTTCAAACTAAATGAAGTCTCTCCTGATTGAAATATCATGTGTTGAAATAAACACTGTAGTTTAAAATAAAAAATTGAATTGCCTAACATTTTTGTTGTGGAATTAATTAATTTCTTTCTTTAAAGGCAAAAACATGAAAAAGCTAAAAAAAACAACTATTGAATACAATATATTTGGAGCAACTTAATTTATAAATGGTTGTCAACTTAAAAACTTGTGTTCACAATGATGGTAATTAAGTATACAACTTAAAATTCCTTTTAAATAATGTGGTAAAACTAGTTGGAACAACTTGATCTTTGGAGTAATCAACTTGTGTTTATGCTACCAATTATTAAGTAAGTGGTAATTAAAAACAGCTCTGATTGTAGAGGAAAAGCCTTCTCCCCTAACTCAAATAAGTTTGTTGGTTTAAAACAAGTTCATTAGAAGTTGTCATAACTCAATAAACATTGATGCACACTGTTGCGTTGATTTTCTTTGTTGAGCCAAAGCATTTGTTTTTAGAGTGTATGTGTGATGTAAGGCTGATATCTAGTGGCCAAATAGGGTAAACACATCTACACTGAGAACACTTCTGTGGCATAGAGACCAGGAGTTCAATTTCAAAAAGACAGTAAAACAATTCCACAAATGATTTATTAGAGTAGATTTTAATGATCACAAAGTCTGTTATATTTTAATTCATAGCATTGGTTATAGTCACTAACACAACAGCATGAAAGAGGTTGATGACTAAGTGACTTCTTTAAAAACATATATCATGGACGTTAGGAAACCATTAAAAATAAATGTTATCTGGTACATATGTTATTCAAGCAAAGACTGAACAATCATCCATAATGCTTCATATAAAACATTTAATAAAAAGACAAAAACAGATACAAAACTAGAAACATAGTATAAAGGATCTTATTCATATTGTTTTAATTAGTAGCTCGTCGTCATTTTCAGTTGAGTATGATATTCTCCCTCATATACTCAATACTTATCTGTATTGTTGTTGTGAAGGCACGTGGTTGTTTACCAATACCAACACTGTTCATGGTTTTGTGACAAGGCTTGCATGTTATCAAATGTTTCATATAAAAGTTGAATAAAGACATGGTTTGTATCAACATCCAAAGAGATTAACAGAATAGTTCCCAGAGCTAAATAACATTCATACCAATAACTAAGATCTAACTAAAATAACTGCATATCAGTGCATCCAGTACAGTTTTTCACAAAGTAAACCATTCATATGTATCACTACATTGTTGAGCAAAACAGAAACCACTCCAAGAAGTCTTATAACAAGTCAAACAAAAGCACCTTTTTTAAAAGTAACCTTTTTTTGGTTAATTTTCTAACCAAAGTATGAAATACAAATAGAACACAAATGATAAATCAAATTCAGATAACATTTCAACTGAATATGTAATTTGATTTTGATTAATGACTTCTAAATCTTGTCATTTAAGAATGATTAAGCACTTTTTTCTTTTTCTATAATACATTGGTATACTAGTATTGCCCGCTATGCCTATTTTAGTATGAACATTTTGTCTGGCATGTGTATATATATATAAATATTGTTGGCAATGCTTTATTTGCATTGCTCAACATGCTGATCTCAAAGATCAGGCCGTTTGATTGACAGTAGGTCTGACGATGATCAGAGGGGCAGCATTATTGCCTCCATCATTATTACAGGGACTTAATATTGGGTAGAGATTCTCAGTGAAGGAGTAGCCAGTAAAGGAGTAGATAAGAGCTGCAGCATCTACGTCATAAAAGGAGACCAGACCCTCCTCATAATCCACAAACACCCCCACCTTCTGAGGCTGAGACTTCAGAGAGAGAAGGACTGACGGAGCATCAAGAGCTTTGTACTCATTTCCATTTCTCAAACATATAGTCCAGTAACCGTCCTGAGGCCTCATGTTGAACTCTCCCTTCCTGTTGATCGACTCTCTGACCACTCCTATATTCCATTTAGGCTTCCCTTGAACATGAACCTCGTAGTAAAATCTGCCTGAAGAGAAACTCTGCCCTCCCAAAACAAAATTATAATGAGAAAATCTCTGTAGGTTGTCTGGGAGATTCTTCTTTACATTACCAAGACTCACTTGTTTCCTATCAGGAGACAGGATGAGTTCAGGGTGTGCTGTATAAGGATCAAGAGTCACATCCACTGCGTACTTCTGGACCCTCTTCAGCTCAGCCTCACCGAGCAGCTTCTTCATCTCTTTATTAAGGGTCTCCTCCAGCTGGATCAAGGCCCCCTCCACAGTTTTCTCATATGAAGATACATGGACGTTGATCTTTGTCCAGTCCTTTGTGGGTGGAACAGCTTTCAGTAACGGGAAGCTTCGGAGAACATGGAGGTGGTCTTCTGAGCGTGTGACCTGCCCCACATCAGTGTTTCTCTTCTTCAGATCAGATATTTCCTGTTCCAGCTCTTTGATGAGGCCTTCAGCCTGTTTCTGTGTTGTTGTCATCTTCTCTCCTATTGTTTTGTAAAGCTCATTCAGGCCTCTCTCGAGCAAATTGTTCAGAGAATTGAAGACCTGAACACCTTCTGATAGCTCCATTTTCGCATTTTCTGTACTGCACTTTACTGAGTGTCTGATCGCCTCAATCTTTACTCGTCTCTTCTGGATCATCTCCTGAATGTTAGCCTCTGTCTTCACCAGCTCAACTTTCTTGTCTTCATATTCATCTTTCAGAGGAACAAACTCATGCATCTTGTGGTCTAAAGCAGAGCAGTGCAGACAGACAAATGTCTGGTCGGTCTTACAGAACAGCTCCAGAGGTTTATCGTGCTTCGGACACATCCTGTCTTCCAGGTTCTCCACAGGGTCGATCAGCTGATGTCTTTTCAGACCTGACACATTTAAATGAGGCTCCAGGTGAGTCTCACAGTAGGAGGCCAGACACACCAGGCAGGACTTCAGGGCCTTCAGTTTGGTTCCAGTGCAAAAGTCACAGGGAACATTTACTGGTGTGAACGATTGTTGCTGTGACCGTTTGCGGTTGGCTTTCTGTTGAGCCGACTGTCTGAACTCACCAACCATCTCAGAGAACAAAGTGTTGACCCTCAAAAAAGGTCTTTTTTCAAAACCCTCATTACACAAGGGACAAATGTATCTGTTATTTGTATCCCAGTGTGCAGTGATGCAGGTATTACAGAAGTTGTGTCCACATGGTGTGCTGACTGGATCCCTGAACACATCCAGACAGATGGCGCACCGAAACTGCTCTTCCGATAGCAGACAGCTGACAGAAGACATGTCTGAGAACACAATTCAAAGTATTATTAAAGAACACATATTATGCAAATGTTAACGTTTTATAATTGTATTTTATGCCTCTACTGTGACATGTCTCCATGCTTTAATGTTCAAAAAGCTCTTTATTTTTCTTATAATGCCTGTGCTGCAGCACCTCTTTTCACCCTCTGTCTGAAACCAGAGTCCAGTCTGCTCTGATTGGTTAGCTAGCCGGCTCTGTTGTGATTGGTCAATCACTTAGAGATGTCCCGCCCCTTAGCCTATCACGTACAATGTGTTGGAGCTCTAGCCAATAGAGATGCGAATGTTACATGTGATGTCACTATGTTCAGGAATCAAACAAATAAGTCCAATGGAGGCGTTTCAGGCAGTGGGGGAGTGTGTGGGAGAGAAACTCCCTCTGGAGGGAACACAGGGATTTTAACCTTAGCAGACCATTTACATGCACACAAACCGATATGACACACTACAGGAAAGGAAAAAACCCCAAAAGCATATTAGGGCCTCATTTAAATATTTTGTTACACACATATTTCAATTCAAAGTCAAATCTGTATAACGAATAAAGTATGATTACTGCATTAAAAATAACTTTGTAGGTATTTTTAACACAACTGAAAAATTACTTCAACTGATGTAACTTCCTGTTTGTTTATAGCTGTACGTTTTGTGTTAATCCTGGTTGTTTAAACTCAGTAAATATGATCAGCTGTACTCACCCATATTTGAGTAAAGTGCTGAGAAAGAACTGACAAACTCAGTGTAATCTTCCTTCAGACAGAAAATCCAGAGACGTGTCTCCACTGCAGCTCTGACAAACGATAAGTTTCATTTATGGAAAGTGACGTTACAGCTCTCCTCCCTCCAGTGTTGCTCCTCCTCTTAGAGCAGCTCTGTGTTTCTCCTTCAGGGTTAGTCAGGATTAAAGTTACAGACATCTGGCACAAGATAGGTTTAACATTGAGAAATACGTTTTACATATTTTCTTAAAGCCACTAGGACGGTTGTCTCAAAAAAATATATATCTTAGATTCAGAAAAAAACAACAGTGCAAAGTCGAGCTCACTGTTTTCCCTGCAATGTTTAGCCGTTTCGTCTCATTCTTATGTTTGCCTTTTTCTGTAGTTGTTGCTCAATCATACCAGGAAGTAGTCTTGTGAGCAGTCTGTGAAAGCCTTTAACAAACTCTTCTCTCGATGCGTGATGTAAGGCTGATATCTAGTGGCCAAAGCAAGGTAAACACATCCACACTGAGAAAACCTCTGTGGTTCAGTTTCAAAGTAAAACACTTACACAAATAATTTATTTGTACTTCACCAGAGTAGATTTTAATGATCACAAAGTCAATTGATAGCATCTGTTATAGTCACTAACACAACAGCATAAAAGAGGTTTAAAAATATATATCATGGACGTTAGGAAACCATTAAAAATCAATGTTATCTGGTACATATGTTATTCAAGCAAAGACTGAACAATCATCCATAATGCTTCATATTAAACATTTTATTAAAAAAAGACAAAAATAGATACAAACTAGAAATATAGTAGAAATGATTCCTATTCATTACATTGTATATTGTTTGAATTAGTAGCTCTTTGTCATTTTCAGTTGAGTATGATATTCTCCCTCATATACTCAATACTTATCTGTATTGTTGTTGTGAAGGCACGTGGTTGTTTACCAATACCAACACTGTTCATGGTTTTGTGACAAGGCTTGCATGTTATCAACGTTTTTCTATAAAAGTTGAAGAAAGACATGGTTTGTATCAACATCCAAAGAGATTAACAGAATAATTCCCAGAGCTAAATAACATTCATACCAATAACTAAGATCTAACTAAAATAACTGCATATCAGTGCATCCCCAGTCCAGTGATTCACAAAGTAAACCATTCGTAATTATCACTACATTGTGGAGCAAAACAGAAACCACACAAAAAAAGATGTTTAAAAACAAAATCAGTTTTAACAGTAAAAAAAACGTAACTTTTATGACACACAGTAAAAATAGAAAGCTCATAAAAAAAAATGATAAAGAACAGTGCATTAATACTAATTATTCCACAGTTTAGGTGAATACTCAATTCTGATTGGTCCAGCTGGACATTCTAGCGGTCTGTTAATTTACGCTAATAGTCCGCAAATTGACCAATCTTTTTTAATCAATAAAAAATGTCAAATGAATATTCTGAATCAAGTTGTAGGTTTATTTAGTATGCAGCCGTGTATAGGGGGTGTTCTTTTTTCATTATTGACCACATCACTGCACATTACCTCACAAACATTAGCATTTCTTACCAAAAATTAACAACACATACTTTCATTTAAAAATGGATCAGCCAGGCGTGTGTTTTTGGTATGTCTGTAACCCATTGGCATCCTATTTTCTGCTGCTTTTGTGCTATGAAATGTTTTCTGGTACACATTTACAATGTGGATATGAAAGGTTAAAGACACATTTAATGAGTATATGTACTGTTGTCAATGCTTTTATTATTCTATAAAGTAGTCATGATAAGGTCAGGCCTTGACAGGACAGATGATCAGAGGTGCAGAGTTTTTACCACCATCATTATTACAGGGACTGAAGAACGGCAACAGTTTCCTGTTGAAGGAGCAGCCAGTGAAGGAGTAGATAAGAGCTGCAGCATCTACGTCATAAAAGGAGACCAGACCCTCCTCATAATCCACAAACACCCCCACCTTCTGAGGCTCAGACTTCAGAGAGAGGCTGACTGGAGGGTCCGCATGAGCATTGTACCTATGTCCATTTCTCAAACATATCGCCCAATAGCCACACTGAGGGCTCATTGAGATCCCTCCCTTCCTGTTGATCGACTCTCTGACCACTCCTAAATCCCAGTTTATCTTCCCCTTAACTTGAACTTCATAGCAGAATTTGCCTGCAGAGAAACCCTGCTTTCCTAAAACAAAAGTACGATTAGTAAATCTCTCTGGATTGTCCGGGAGATTCTTCTTCTTCCCACCACAATGACTCACTTCTTTCCCATCATCAGACAGTCTGAGTTCAGCTTGTGCTGTATCAGGATCAAGAGTCACGTCCACTGCGTACTGCTGGACCCTCTTCAGCTCAGCCACAGGAAGCAGCTTCTTCATCTCTTTACTGATTGTCTCCTCCAGCTGGCGCACATTTCTTACTACAGTCCCCTCGTATGATTGACAGACACTGACCTCTGTCCAGTCCTTTGTATGGGGAGCAGATTTAAAGGACTGGAAGCTTCGGAGAAGATGGAGGTAGTCTTTAGAGCGTAAGAGATGCTCAACCTCAGAGCTTCTCTTCTTCAGCTCAGAGATTTCCTGTTCCAGCTCTTTGATTAAACCCTCAGCCTGTTTCTGTGCCATTTCCTGACTCACTTCTATTTTTTTAATGAGCTCGTTTAGTCCTCTCTCAACAGAATCCTTCAGAGCAGTGAAGACCCGAACACCTTCTGCTACCTCTCTGTCTGCATCTTCTTTACCAAGGTCGACTGACCGTGTGATCTCCTGAATCTTCAGTTGTCTTTTCTGGATGATCTGCTCAATTTCCGCCTCTGTCTTCCACAGTTTGACCTTCTTTTCTCCATATTCTTTTTCCAGAGGAACCACATCATGCATCTTGTGGTCTGAAACATGGCAGAGCAGACACACAAATGTCTGGTCGGTCTTACAGAACAACTCCAGAGGTTTATCGTGCTTCGGACACATCCTGTCTTCCAGGTTCTCCACAGGGTCGGTCAGCTGATGTCTTTTCAGGCTTGAAGCTGTCAGATGAGGCTCCAGGTGAGTCTCACAGTAGGAGGTCAGACACACCAGGCAGGACTTCAGGGCCTTCAGTTTGGTTTCAGTGCAGACGTCACAGGGAACTTCTCCTGGTTTGAAGACTTGTTGCTCTGAGCTGCTGCTGCGGCTGCTTCTGGCTTTCTGTTGAGCCGACTGTCTGAACTGAGCGACCATCTCAGAGAGTAAAGTATTCACTTTCAAATCTGGTCTTGTGGCAAAAGCCTCTTTACACATAGGACACTGGTATTTGTCATTACTATTCCAGTGGTCAATGATGCAGGTATTACAGAAGTTGTGTCCACATGGTGTGCTGACTGGATCCCTGAACACATCCAGACAGATGGAGCAGAGGAACTGATCTTCATATAGCAGGCAGCTGACAGAAGACATGTCTGAGAACAGAAGTCAAAGTATTATAAAGTGAAAAGTTAACACCTATCATTTGTTTAAAAAAATATATCACAGCATGATTATTGCAACATTGTGAAACCATGTCATTCTGAAATTGAAAGAAAGTTACTTCCTGCTTTTATAGAGCTGTTAGTTTTGTGTTAAGGCGGGTTGAAAACAGTTAATATAAGTTGCACTCACCAGTATTAGAGTAAGTTGTTGAGAAGACCTGACGAACTTAGTATAATATTTCTTCAGACAGAAAACCCAGAGTCTTGACTGACTGCAGCTCCGAACAACAATAAGTTGTACTTCAGGAATGCGACGCTGAAGCTACCTGTGTTGCCCCTCCTCTTGCAGCACCTCTGTATGCGAGTAGTGTTCCCTTCTTCAGTAAATCTTAACTCTGGTGGCCACACGAGGGAAACACATGAGCCTCAACTAGAGGACAAGACTCCATTTTCAAAATAAAACGCTTTCACAATCAATTTGCTCAATACTAATCAAACGTCAGCATAACATCCTTATAATGACCAACCAAGATATATTGTCAGATTCAATGTCAGCTTTATTGCCAGAGTATGTGTAGACAATACAACATTTAACTCTCAGTTCTTGTTACCCTCAATGCACACATACACTTAGCCTATATAAAAAATATATATGCTGATTATTGTCTCAATAATGTGTCTATTAGACATCTTACAACAGTGAGTGAACAACGTCCTTTACAATGCCTCTAAATTAAGATCTTTGTGATTTCTTGTTTTGTTCAACCAGTAGTAAAAAAAACACAAAGATGACATACATTTTTTTTGTGTAAAAGTTCAACATTTCATTGAAATCTCTGATCTTTTATGGTGTTTTGGATGATTTTATTATTTTCCAAAAGTATTGTATGTGTGTTTAACTTTGTACTTTAGTTTATGTTGAAGTGAATATGAAAACTTCATGTAGTACCGTCTACATAACTATCACAGGTATTTTATTTGGAAAATGTTTAACCGGAAGTAAAGCCACTGTGTTGTTTTGCTAACTTGATGCTAAGGGGGGAAGCTGGTACACATAAACTTCTCCAGTTATGTATCATCTTAAATAAATGTCTCCGATTCTATCAGGGCAATTGGACCTCTAAATGTCCGTCTGAGGCTCTTCAAACACCGGGCTGCTCAGTTCGCTCAACCGCTCTTATTTTCAGAGCCACTGTTAGCATGCGGATGCTAACTTCAGCTAGCGACCGTTGGTACTAAAGTCGCCACACAGACAGGACAACTGACAGAAGTCATACTTGTTTTTTCTTTATTTTCCCACCGCCAGCACAGTGAATGATGTGGAAAGCAACTTTACTAGCGTTTGGTGTTTTGCTGCTGGCCTTGTTATTCGGGAACTTTGTTTGTTTGGGTTGGTTTCAACAAGACAGCAGCGTAAAACCCAAAACGCAGCAAAGCGAGCAACCGAGCAAAGCTTCTCCTTCTCCAGACAGCCAGGACCAGAGCTGCTTCTGCCATGTAAGTAACATTAAAACAGTGTTTGTGTGGCATTAGAGTCAAACGATGTTATAACGGTTGTATATTTGGTTTCTAAAGCTTTAAACGTGGCAATACGACACAGCCTCTCCATTCAGGAAATATTCTAGCATTTTCTGCTGTCATCTTAATTTGACGTCACAGTGTGTGTGATGCAAGCTAGCAGCAACAATCTCCTTCTCTTTTCGTGTGTGAAAGTCACTCTATTTTTGTATATATTTTAGCAGTAATAAAATACAAACGTAGCTTCACAAAACATCAAAAACACATTGAATGGAGATGCAGGAAATGCCATTTTGTAAATATAAAAGAGACTAAAGATAGTAAAGCAGCAACAATATCCATCCTGGAATAAAACCGCAGGAAGAAAAGGTGTAGGATTTGTTTAGGTTTTATTTATTAACATTACTGGTCTCAATTCTTTAATTGTGCATGTATGACAGATCAAATCACTCTTGTTCTGTTTTCAAAAGAACAGCGGGGTCTTCTGTTTTCTGACTGTAATATTAAATACATGAAAAAAAGAAGCACAAATCTCCATATCTTTTCGTGTGTGAAAGTGACATTAAAGCTCTCTTTTTTTATATATTCTAGCAGTAATCAAATACAAACGCAGTCTTTATTTATTCCGGAAACTACAGACATGGTTGGCAAATAGCAACGACGTTTCTCTTTTTTCTTTTAATGTTTTTATCGATTTCCTAAATGAGTATTACTAGCGAACGATTGTGTTTTCTTCACGTCCCATTGAAACACATTAAGCGACTGTCACATTATGTAATAATTGATATGTATTTACTGCGTTACTCCTGGTTTACCTAACTTCCGTATGAAGACTATTTCGAGGATTTAAACAAAATTAAAATAGGATAATTATTGAAAGCAATACATACAAATAGAAGTGTTATAATCAAATTGTTATGTTGTGGATTTTCTGCTGAACTGATGTTATTTCTATTAGCAAGTAGAAAAGCGTGGTGTAACGTGATTGGCTGAGGCATAGCTCCCGTCTTCTGTCCTCTCATGGGAGTTGTAGTCTTTTGCCCCGCTACCAACAAGCGGTGTATACCGCTTCTGACCCGGAAATGGACTACACAATAGTAGGGCGCTTGTGGAGAAGGCGGGATTTACTGTTGACAGCTGGTTGTTTGGAGGCGGGGCCATTTGGGGGGGTTGGCATTGGCACTGAAAGGTTTGTAATGACAGCTCAGTCCACAGACAGAGCTGCTGCTGCTGCTGTGACATATGGGCTGAAAGTTTACATAGAGGAAGTTTTGATTTGAAGCTAAAACACAGAAAACAGAAGTAGAGATATTACAACAGCATGCTGAGAGGGATTTGCCTCTTCCTGCCTCTCGTGGCTCTCAGTGGACTGCTCGGTGGACAACTTCACACAGAGGTTTGGTTAATGTGGCTATACTTTACTGAGATTTCCCAGATGTGTCTGTATAATACAATACTAGATATAAGATTTCAATAAGTAGATGATAAGATCATAGCAGTATTATTCGTGTTGTATTAAATAACAGAAAAGTGGCTCCATATGCTTGGTCATACTCTGATATTTAATTTGGTCTAATACATTAATTTCACATTTGTTTATTTAAAACATTGGTCATTTAAGACTAGAAGAAAGAGTGATTTAATTTACAGCTCAATCATTTTCTTCGAATTTCCTTGGTAGTTGTATTCAATATAAAACCAAGCCTAATTATAATGTATTACATATTGAATTGGGCACTTAAAATAAAACACATCTAGCCATAGTTATTATACAGAGATTTAGATTTTGGATTTACCTTCCCTCCAGGCATACATATTTGTCAGTGATGTGACCTGGGGGAACAACACATGGGGAAACACTGATATGGTCATTTTAGGAAATGTATCTGTTTATGCAAATAACTAAACCGAGAGAGACATTAACAAAGCTCTGAATCGACTACCTCGTGTATCACTTCTCCACAATATAGGAGGTATAGTCACAGTATGTTGGTGTATCTTTTGTAATATTAGTACCTTGAACAAGCTGTGCCCACTATTGTTGTAAATAGTAAAAAAAAAAAAAGATCGCCGGATTCAAAAAAATATAATAAAAATAATAATCATGTGAGAAAGAGGAAATTCACACAATGTTGATATTTTAATTTATTTAGTCTTCCTTTATTTATGCAAGGGGACGTATGATTACATAATTTAGTATTTATTTTAGTGTTTTTAGTACCTTTTTAAGAATTTTGGTCTGGATCCCATTTTGATGTCAACTTGGGCTGTCGGTTATTTTTCACTATTTTCTTACATTTAATGGACAGATTATCAGTCTGTTTTCAAGAAAAGAATCATCAGTTTAATACGACAAAGGTTTCTAAATTGCGTCTTGTTTATTGTGATAATACCAAACCTACCAAAAACATGACGGTGTTAAAAAATGCCCTCTCAACAGTGTTTGTGTTCAGGGCAGGTTAGCTGTTTTTTAGCCCCCTAAACCAGGTTTGTGTGCTCTGGATTAAAACTACAGGTGGTGGTTGGTTACTACTAACTTTAAATTATAAGACAATCCAAAGCCTCTTTACTGCAACAGGGTGGTGTTAACGCCCCCACCTTTAATACCTCCCTCTGTTTACCGAACTCTCCTCAGATTTCAAACTCTGGTTGTTTAGTTGCTCCTCGGGTCAAACACATTTATCTGGAGATTGAGGTGTATCCTTTGTGATGATCAGAGGGAGGTCTGAATTTTGTATGACCTGTTTGGGATCAGGTAACACAGCACTGTGCGCCCTCACACAGCAGGGGGTGGATGTATTATGTATGGCAGTGCAGGTAGACAACAGCCTGTGTGTCTGCGGGCCTCCTGCTGTGAAAAGGGGAAAGTGGTTTCCCAGTGGAGTTGTTAGTGTTTAGCAGAAGGAGAGCCTAATACATCTTTTACACAATTATACAAATATCCTTAATGTTCAGAATCAGAATACCTTTGTTCGTCCCACAGAGGGGGCATCTACATTGTAACAGCAGAAAAGAGCCAAAGACAGCTTAATGTTACCTAAGAAGCATGCATTCAAAAGAATTACAAAACACACATCCTGTTGTAACACTTCTGAGGATTTAGCAGCCAGGTATATATTATTAACGGCATATATATATTGCACATATTGCACATAGTTGGTTGGTATTTAACAACAAGGGGTGTTATAGTCTGTGTTGTTGTGTGTGTAATGTTGTTTCATCGATTGATTGAATCCTTCAGAGTTGACTTCGATGTCATGTTTGGAAATATTTTCTGTTTTATAAAACTGTGGCACCTTTTATTGTAATAATTATGTATTTTTGATATCTACAGGAAAGCTAAAAATGCACATATTATTCAACCTCATCTTGATTAATGGAAAAAGTAACTCTATAGAATACAGGTGATTTAGATTCCAGTCCATGTAGAATTGAGTTTGATATCTGATAATAAAAATGTCCTCTTGGCTTTATCTGTACTTATATCTAGCGTGTGCACTTCAGGCTAATTGAACTTTGTCATTGGCTTTCCCTCTGACAGCTTTCAGCTATTTGTAATTAATTAACGGAGACACATTAGTGAGTAAGACAGTGAAGCAGATGCAGAAAAGTGTAGTAGAGGACAAATTGAAAACTTGCTAAGGATCTAAAATCTTTTTTGGGGTTATTGTTCTGTCTTTTTTCTGTGTTTTTGAGAAAATATTCTTCATGTGTGATTTCCCTGTTTCTCTTTGCTCTGCTCCAGCTGACGGGAGTCCTGGACGACTGCTTCTGTGACGTTGAAAGCATCGACGTCTTCAACAACTTCAAGATCTACCCTCGAATCAAGAGGCTGACGGAGAAAGACTACTTCAGATACTACAGAGTAAGAGCTGCCACTTCTCTGTAAAAACAATAAGACGCTTCTTGCACTCGGGAATACAAGCGTAAAAGAAGGCAGTAGTTCTCAAATACGACTCAACGTCTCACGTCATGTCTGAACTTCTGCACTTTATATTATAAAAAGGGGTGAGCATCAGATTTAAGAAGTCGTAAATATGAAAATTCATGCAAAGTTAACAGTTTTCAATTTTAAAATCTAATTCTTATTTAAGTTGTTTGTTTTTGTTTACTTTAAGGGACACTAGCTCATGAGACGCTCATTTTCCATTTCTCATCCTTTTCTCGTCACTTGTGTTTTCTGTGCATGTAGTTGTTTACTGTAAAGTCCAGTGATCAGCTTCTTCTTGTAAAAAGAAGAAAAACTATACAATTTGGATGTGTGAGGACATATAAGCGTTGAAAATCAGTTCAAATCAATCATCTACAGTACTACAGAAAATCTGTGTAAATGATGTCCCTTCACTTTCAAGTTTTGCGCTGTCCTTAAAGACTCCAGAGACGTTAAATTCTCACATTATTGCATGAGAACATTTCTCAAGTAGTGACAGTGTCTGCTGGTGTAAACAGCCGAGGACACGCCCTGATATTCAGGTTGGTGCAGGTCTGTCAAAAAAAGGCGTCACGTTAAACAACAACAGCAGTTTTATTATTAATTCACATAAAGCTGTTTTTATGATCCTGTTACAGAACAGGAAGGATGACTGAAATATTGTGAAATACTCAAACTATTGCAACAGTGAGCAGTTACAGCAAGAGACAATGTGTTTTAGTGAACACTGTAACTACAGTTTTAAACCTCCATTGTATCCTCTGGTGACGTTTATAGCTTTATTTTTACACTTCTGCTCCGTCTACCGTTGATAACACCTTCTGCTCTGATGAAATAATCTGCCACATGAACATATCGTCAGAAACAAAGCATCAATCCAGGTACATCCTTTGGAAAAGCATATTTAAAATGCTTTGTTTGTGTCAGTCTGTTGGTGCCACAGGAGGAAAAGAGGGCTGAATGCTCTGAGGAAGTTGCCTAATTTAGTGTGTGTGTGTGTCTGGTTTAGCACTTATTAGAATGAATGGGAAAGAAGTCAACATCTAGGGCCTAGGCTATGCACATTGTCCTAGTTTTTAATAGAACATATGGCAAATTGACCTTAGATTAAATGAGAGGTTACATTAGTGGTGTACTAAACGTTATTCCTTAATATTTAAGTGTAATCATAGCATTCAAAAGTAAAATCATGTTCTGATACAACTGCTGCCAAGTTGCTGAGTTAGGTTAAGAATGTCCCTCTGCTGGCACGTCATGTCTGATGCGACATAATGAGTGTAGCTGCTCGAGCTAACGTTATGTTGGCATTCGCTGAAGAGGACACGCTGTTGTAGGAGGAGCACAATCGGAGATATTACTGTGAGAAGGATACACTGATAGTATCATGAGATAGAGAGTAGAGATTCAGGATTTAGTGTTTTGTTTGACTTGAATCTGACTTCTTGACATGTATTTTAATATAAAAAAAAGCTATTTCTCGCTTAAGTAAGTATGTTGGATGTATAACCTGGCCTTAGAGACTTATTGCTTAGAAAATAAATATGATTAAGGTGACACAAACAACGAGGAGTACAGACGTTTGTTTAGTAGAACCTGCTTTTTAAATAATAATGGATTTAAATGTAATCTTATCTGTGTCACATTGCAAAACTTCTCTGATATGAAGCACCATGAACTCATGTGGATGTTTTTCTGTCTCTTTTTTCAGGTGAACTTGAAGCGACCGTGTCCTTTCTGGCCGAACGACGGACATTGTGCCATCAAAGACTGCCATGTGGAGCCCTGTCCAGAGGTCAGTACACAGACACACACACACACACACAGACACACACACACACACACACAGACACAGACACAGACACAGACACACACACACACACACACACACACACACACGAATTAACACAACTTTTTAAGCAATAGTTTGGATTTATTTTAGATCCCTTAAGTTATCGTCATGTTTTTTTTTCTACCTGTACTTTCATGTTAAGTTGTTTACTGCATATTACTTTAGTTTCACAACATATATGCTTTTTAAAACACTGATTTACTCACTCAGATAATTGTAATAATGTTAAAGCTGTTTCCTATTGATTGTGTATGTTTATTTGTTGTTCTCTGTGTTGTTCTACAGAGCCAGATCCCAGTGGGCATCAAGTCTGGGAACTACAACAAGGTGAGACTGAGAAGATAAATGATGGGTTTGAAACTTCAAAAGGTTATCTCTGTTCTCTCAGCGTGAAACAAACGGGATCAAACAGAATGAGAAATCCTTTATTTGTCCAACAGCGAGGAAATAAACACAGCGAATAACAACATTGAGCTGTCAAAAATCTATATATTGCACAGAAGAAGTGTACCTCCACCACAATGTAGTCACAGAATATTCTTGATGGTAGATAAACTCAGCGTTGGTTTGAAAATGCAATGCAGTGAATCTAACTCTGTAACTATCTTTATCTGTGGACTGAAAACCAAATGGAGTTTAGCACCAGCTGCGTTTTTTTCCACCACTTTCTGTCTCATTAGCTGATTCTGTAGACACACACACACACACACACACACACACACACACACACACACACTCTCTTTACTCTCCTAGCACTCAGCTTATCTGCTCTGCTAGTTTCCACGCACAGACTGAGTGTTCGTTGGCTCGCGGCCTGGTGTTTGTCTTGTAATGACCCAGAAGTGTTCTGACATCTGTAACAGTCGAGGTCGAATGTTTTTCACTGACCGTCGGCTGGGAAACTGTTAGTCAGCGAGAAGAGATGAAAGAAAACACGACTCCTCTGCCACCTCAGCAGTATGTGAGGAGCATGCAGTTTGGAAGTGGGGAGGTTCATCATGAGGCTTAAAGTGATACCTGAAATATATATTTTGAGCATCAAACTCAATCTTTAAAAGTGGCTGTTACTGGTTTGTAATGTTCTTACTGACGGAAGCTTCAGTTAGCTTAGATTGCAGGGTTAACAGTGGATTTTAAGATATTTTAAATATGAAATTGTACATAGGAAATAGCTGTGAAGCACTATATAAAGGTTCTCTGGTGATCTCTGAAAATGTGGCTATATACACTGTCTCCATGTAAAACCTCACACATGACTCAGTTGAGTTTATGACCTAATTATAGAGCTCTTCGATCTGCTTTAAAATAATAATACATTGAATTTTTATAGTGCTTTTCCTGGTGCTCAAAGACGCTTTACATCAAATCAGAAACAGAAACAGTGCAAAGAAAAACATCACTTGTTGACTTGCATGACCGTACAATGTTTTATAAATTGTAGTAAAGCGTGGTCTAAATGTTAAACCTCAGTTTCTTTTTTTATTCATTATTTCCCTGTTTCCATTTATTTAAAATATGTCAATTCTGAACTGTATTTTATTCAGAAAAACATCTTTTTGGACAGCTAACAAAAGTATTTCTATATTTTTTATATTGTTTTGGACATTTTACTAAATTAATTATGTTTATCAAATTGTATTTGTGTTGCCCAATATCACAACATGCATTTATCTTAGGGGGCTTTACATAGATAAAATACATTTTTTATTTATTTAATTTCACTCTATTCTGATTCTGATTTACAGACATCGGCTTATTTTTAATGTCAGTTTCAGATCCACATTTTCTTATTATAAACATGGCATTGACAGCTGTAGTGTTTTTTGTCTCAGTACTCCCAGCCAGCGGATACGGTCTCCGACGTGACGGAGTGTGAACAGGCCAAAAATCTGGGCGCCATCAACAGCACCCTGAGGTGACACACACACACCCACCATGTATACATCACTTCAGGGGACATTACATTGACTGACATGCATTTCCTGGAGACTTATCCTAACCATAACCAACCCTTACCCTTACCCTTACCCTTACCCTTACCCTTAACCTTACCCTAACCCTAAACCTAACCAAGTCTTCACCCTAAAATTAATGATTCCTCTCATGGGGACCTCCATTTTGTCCCCATAAGGGAGGCGAGTCCCCACACGTGACTGTGTAAACAGATTTAGGTCCCCACAAGTATAGTAATGCTCGGACACACACACACACACACACACACACACACACACACACACACAACCCTTCTGTCTGCTTTATCTCCCACTGCACACACACACACACACACACACACACTATTTTTACACGGTCAGCTGCAGCAGCTCATTTACCCAAAATGCAAAGCGGCTTCACAGCTGATAGTGAATGTTTGACTTGGTTACTAACATCTGATGTGCAGCTGCTGGAGGTTTCTCAGCTGACTGACCTGAGTCGAGGGATATTTAAACCATAGATACATTCGTGCTGAAACGACAAAGATAAAACAATGTGTTTTAAAGACTTGCTCAACCAAAAAGTCTAAAAATATAATGGTGAGAATAACAGGAAGAGAGAAAATACTTTCCTCCTCTGTGCACCGTCACATAAAGTAACATCAGGGCTGTGTTTATATAACAATGGACGTATTTGAAGCCCATTTCCTTCTATCGTTCACTATTTCTTAACATCTATCTCAAGCTGCTGGTGGATTTGTTTTTTTATGTGGAATTGATTATTCAAAAAGAGGGACGCTGTGGATCCCTGAAGTTTCCTCTGAAGTGGTTTTTGGGATTGCTCAGGCACAAATCTGTAAAATAAACTATTTTTTTAATATATATTTAATTGTATTTTATGAAAAAACAGTTCTTCCATGTTCCCAAATAATAAATATAGTATGGTAAGAAATGCCTATCGCATTAATTATTATTATTAAGGAGAACAATTGATTATTCTGACTTGTATTATTGATAAAAGGGTGATTTTTCTTGAGTTTTACAAAGTAATCGTTCATAGTTATACTGTTAGATACTTTCATGCTTGTACTAGATTTCAGTTGTTTGGCATTTTTCTGTATCATACTTAATAAAGTCTAAATGCACAAATGTGTAAATATATGCAATAGATCAGATCTCAGTCATGAGTCATTATTCAAACAGTCTTCAAAAAATGAATGTCTGAAAATCTCAGATATTAATAACAGAAAGTTACTTTTAAAGTTGTTTTGGATTCTTAAAATGTTGTGATAGTTTCTCCTCTGTGATTAATATAAATGTCTATGACTTCCTGTTTCAGTAACCAGAGCAAAGAGGCGTTCGCTAACTGGGAGAAACACGACGATGCTCAGGATCACTTCTGTGAGCTCGATGGTGAGCATTCACTCCCTCAGACCTATCTGAACTACTGGAACGTTTTCCATGAAATGTTCTGGATATTCCTGTTTTTTTACCACCCTCTTGACCTTTCATCTAACACCAACCCTCACAACAAATCTTCCACTTGTTCACAGAAACATGTAATGGTAAAGAAGACATAAATAAGGATGGGGTTGTTTCTGTTCAACACTTTGTATGTGTGTGGAGCCAGAGACTCTGACCATGTTTACACAACAAGCTCGCTTACATGTCATCATGCTCTCCGTAGTTTGAAGTCTAATATGTTTTGTGTGTGTGTGTGTGTGTGTGTGTGTGTGTGTGTGTGTGTGTGTGTGTGTGGTGTGTGTGTGTGGTGTGTGTGTGGTGTGTGTGTGTGTGTGTGTGTGTGGTGTGTGTGTGTGTGTGTGTGTGTGTGTGTGTGTGTGTGTGTGTGTGTGTGTGTGTGTGTGTGTGTGTGTGTGTGTGGTGTGTGGTTGTGTGTGTGTGTGTGTGTGTGTGGTGTGTGTGTGTGTGTGTGTGTGGTGTGTGTGTGTGGTGTGTGTGTGGTGTGTGTGTGTGTGTGTGTGTGTGTGTGTGTGATGTGTGGTGTGTGTGTGGTTATGTGTGTGTGTGTGTGTGGTGTGTGTGTGTGTGTGTGTGTGTGTGTGTGTGTGTGTGTGTGTGTGTGTGTGTGTGTGTGTGTGTGTGTGTGTGTTAGATGAAACCGCTCCAGACTCTGAGTATGTGGATCTGCTGCTGAATCCGGAGCGATACACCGGATACAAAGGACCTTCAGCCTGGAGAGTCTGGAACAGCATCTACGAGGAAAACTGCTTCAAGTGAGACGCACGCGCACACACACACACACACTCTCTCTCACTCTACAGTAAGAATGAATTGGTTATGTACGGACTGAAACTAAAATACATTTTTATAGAGCGTCTAAGAAAAAGTGATTTCTGTTCTCTCTCTTTTTTTCTTTTGTTTAGAAATGTCCACATTTAAAGCTGTTGGAAATCGTCCTCTGTGATGATTATTGATGGTTAATAAAAGTGTGTGTTCTGTCTTCAGACCCAGATCGGTGTACCGACCTCTGAACCCTCTGGCTCCGAGCAGAGGTGAGTCAGAGACAAATCAATATCTGTTTCATCAGCTGCTGTTTCAACAAACTAAAACTCAGGCTTTTGCTTAAATAGAAAATCTTGTTATCATGTGTGCAATCACTGAACTCTAGAATCAAATGTCATATTCAATATTATGCACTTATTTAATTGTTTATGCGTTCAGGTTTTTCATTATATTTCATTACGTTTAAGGTTCATTTTTGCTCAGCTGCATTTTTAAACAATATTTGACAGAAAGTTGGCTTCTCTTGTAAATAAAACTCATTCAATGATAGGCCTCAAATTAGGATATTGCAAAGTTATTGTTCTCTTTACTCAAGGCTGTTATTTGTTTTATGTATTATAATCCTGATTATAATAACCCTTATTATAGTAAGTCAAAAGTGTTTTTTAAAAGGGTTAAGTGTCAACATGGTGTGGTTGATAACACATCCATATGAGTGTCTAAAAGCTTTGAAGGATGTTCAATGTGACGAAGTGAAAATGGAAACCTCAGCTTGTTATCTGAGATATGAGAGAGAAGTGGTTTATAGATATCTATAATCCACATCTTTACCCATAATGCCTCACGTGAGACGGCACATTTTACCCATTACATTAAACATAATGTCCCAATAGGTCTTAGAGGTCTTTGTAAATGATTGTCTTTTATTGTGATTGTAGTAATGTGTTTTTATTACATGTACAGCACTTTGGCTCGACCAAAAATCGCTTTTAAATGTGCTTTATAAATAAAACTTAATTTGATTCACCAAAATTAAAATAGCTTATCTTTTGGAATCTATGTTTGTAAGTCAAATGGGGCATCCAGTTATATTCCTGATTGTACAAATACAACATAATGACATGTTTATTCCTAAAAGACGACATAATAATATTGCAAATGGTGCTAAATAATAAATTACTTGCAAAACAATGAAAAACTTCCAAGTAAATGCAATCAATTCACTTATTTTTGATCACTTTTGCAATCAGTTAAACAGCCATTACATTACATCCAGTATTATATTATTTAATATATATTACGGGGTGTCCGCGGGGTCTTAAAAAGTATTAAAAGTTGATAAATCAATTTAGCGAAAATTAAGGCTATTAAAAAGTATTAAACTGCATTTCCCAAGGTATTACATTTTGTAGCTTGTTTTCAATAAGTATATCAATTGTCCAAAGAGGTTGTATTCTACAGTTTGCCTGAATGTAATCATTGCGTAGATGTGTAGTGTGATTCTGTGTAGTTTATTTATGGCATCCCGTTGGATTTGACGTCATCTGAACAGGACATCTCACGCTCACTGCTTGATAGCGCACGAAGGTCCGTTTACGCCGGTTGTTAAACAACATCGTTATGGGGAAATGCAAGTCTGCGTCCAAAGGGTTGGAAGATAAGGAGGAAGGACAATCAATACTGTATATAGTAAATGTGAGGTAAAGTGTGTCGCCAAGGTAACCGGTTAAAACTCGAAGTGGCGATGAGGTCTTAAAATGTATGGAAAGGGTCTTAAAAAAGGTCTTAAAATGTATTACATTTGACTTCAGGATTCCTGCATGTACCCTGTATTAATACCCCTAGCACAAGTCTAATGACAAACCGCCCTTACTATATGGATGATACTGTATTTAAATCTGCCTCTGATCAGCATAAACAAGTCAAATAATCATTGACATGTTTAGATTTGTATTTTTTTTCATTCCTAAAAGACATTTCTGTAGAAACCTCACCTTGAGCCTGCAGCTGAGACTTCTCACGCACACTTTAATGTGTGCATCTTTTCCTGAGATCGCCTGTTTATCTGTTTGTAATGTAGCAGAGGTGTTTATTAATAGAAGATATCTTACACAGCTTTGTTCTCTCCTTTTCTTCTTCTCTTTCTTTGTTCAGGAGACGACGATGGTGAGTAAAACTGAACTGTCGTCATGTGAATCTATTTTTAGTTTTTTTTATAAAAGCAACTGATGAAGTTTTTCTTTTATGTTGCTCACATTGCAGGAGAGGGTTTCTACACGTGGCTCGAAGGTGAGAACTTCCTCTTGTTTTATCTTTTTCTTCCCCAAATGAAATGTTCTGTGACATCTCCCTTTATGTTTGAGTTCACAAACAACCTCATACTTCCTTTTAAAACTTTGCCTCCTGCAGCTCTTGACCTAGAACAATCTCACGGGATGTAAGGATTTGACACGTGAAGCATTTTTACATTTCGTTTGAATGAACTTCAATTAATAGTGATTTGTCATATTGTGATAAGTATGCTGTCGCCTCCAGCAGCCTCTTAGCTCCTCTCTCCTTTCTGCAGTCTGCTGAAACATCAGTGTGTTTTGGAACAAAGAGGGCAACAAAAAAGCTTTTACAAAGAGATGTCAATCATCTGCGGTGCAGCTCGATTAAAATCAGGTCTAAAGCAAATTCAGCTTCAGATCAATCAGACTCCACAAAGAAGTCAGAGCAGCGTTTCCGCCAGGGGGGGCGTCTTACCGTCATTTGAACTTGAGCCGAGGGCGTCCAAAAAAAATTATAATTCGAGAGAAGATCGAGAGTTTTTGTCGCTTAAAATGACGAAAAGGAAAAAGGACAAGGACATCCCTCTGTTGGAGGGGCAAAGGAGTCTGGTGGGCTTATTTTCGCCGCCAGCAAAGCGTGTTCCTGTGACGGAAAGTGTACTGCCGGCGAGCCTTGACGGGCGGGTGCTAGTGGAGCACGCGCGTGAACTGCGAGCGCCGGAGCCTCGCAGCGGCGAAACTGAGGCTCTGGTAAACTGTGGTAACATGAAGAGCCGCTTGGGAGCCGAAAGAGCCGGCTCTTCTTAGTGAGCCGAGACAAATGATCCGACTCACTAAAAAGAGCCGGAATTCCCATCACTAATACGTAAAGAGATAGTATCTATAAGGGACGGCTCAATTCAAAATTCAAGTCACGTGACACGACGTGACACGACGTGACGTCACACCCCCCCCCCCTCTCGGGGTGGACGCCCTCTCAGCCCTGGTCTGGCGGAAACACTGAGTCAGAGTGTTGGATTAGTTGGATGTCAAATGTGAATCAACACTGATCAACTGAAAAATATGTGGAAGCATTTATGGATTAAGGAATTTTTCATCCCAAAATTACAGAACATTTGTTTTATTTTGTATCTTAAATATTTTAATTTCCTTGCTTTTTTTCTCGTCCGTTTCATGTTAAAACAAATATATAGTGTTTGGAATGAAGATGCATTTTAATAATATTCATTTCACCTCCATTACAATAGTAGCAGAGGAAGAAATGTCAAATTCAAAAACAGAAGTCTATAAATATGGACAAATCACATCTGCATAGGTAGATAAGTTCCTCTTAATTATTCAAAGCAAACTATTATACTAAGAAATCAACACATGTCCTCCTTTCTTCTTTCTCTCCCTCTCGTTTTCAGGGTTGTGTTTAGAGAAGAGAGTTTTCTACCGGCTGATCTCGGGCCTCCACAGCAGCATCAACATCCACCTGTGTGCCGAGTACCTGCTGGACGGTACGACTGATCTCACTACAGCTTTAAGCTTTATTTTCATTTGTCCCCTGTGACACCAAAGCTAATTCAGTCTTAATTCAACCTAACGTAAAACCAGAACTGAGGTCGGCAGGATTTCATTACGACTACAGGCTGCACCAGACTAACCGGTATCAGTATGTTGTTACTTCGGCATCATTTAGTGATGTGATTATTATTTTAAAGGAAAAAATAAAGCTTATAGTTAGGTTTTTGTTAAGTGTTTATACATTTCCTTATATGATACTTGAATTTCTACCTACAAAATCATATTGATACCTTACTTTAAGGCATATCGAGAACATCTTCTGTAAATGAATTACCATGTCCTAAATACTTGGGTATTCTACTCTTACTCTTGCACTTTTCTTGCATTTTATATATTTGTACTGCTATGTTTGTAATTTTCGTTTTCTTAAAGGTCCCATGTCATGCTTTTCCGGTCATTACCCGTCCCCTTGTGTGTCATGTAGCTTTTTCTGCATGTAAACGGTCTGCAGAGTCACAAACCCTCAAAGTACACCCTGTAGGGAGTAAAACTCTAACACAGAAAAGACCTGTCTATGCTGCCCCAGAACGCCTCGTTGGAGATTTCTCATTTTCCATTGTTTACTTCTGGGGTATAGTGACGTATTTCTGGTATAGTGACGTAACGTAACGGCTCCGCAGATTGGTCCAGATTTACCAATCCGCGTAGCCGTTACGTTACGTCCGCGGAGCCGTTACGTTTGGACCAATCCGCAGACTTCCTCACACACACACACACACACACACGGCGGGACGTTGCGAGGCTCGCTGCTGCGAGGAGCAGGACACTGTGAGCTGGCTCACTGGTGTGGGGTCGGCGAGACAGCGAGACACCGCGGAACTCAGCCTGAGCACAAACACAAACTCCCAGCCAGGCTGCGTGTGTGTGTGTGTTTCGGGCTGGGTTTCGCTGTGTCTCGCTGTCTCGCAGACGGCTCACAGGGAGGGGGGGGGGGGGGGGCAGGAGCTCCAACAAGGCGTTTAGGACAGAGAGTGAATACACATACTTTACAGAGATGCTGTATGAGAAACCAATGTGAGTTTAGAACATTGCACAATGTAAATCTATTCTAGTAGACCTCAACAATGGAATCATGATCAGTAGAAATGGCCATGACATGGGACCTTTAATGTTTTATGTGAGGGACTGCGGATGGAAAGTAGCTCAAAGCTAAATCCGGCATATTTACACTTGGCCTATTTCATGTTTTAAGTGTTTATTAATGTGCAATGTCCCTGCCAGAGAAACAAATAAATAAAGAAATAAAGGATTTTCTCAATGTTAAATGTTGTCCAAACGGCTGCAGTGGGCCTGACTCGGTTTCAAGGTTTTTCTTCTGCAGTTTTAAGATAAAATGTCAATGTCAAAAGGGCTGAATAACTTAAAGGGGACCTTACAGAAGCAACAAATTAAACAACATGTCCAACAACATCATTTTCACAGTAACAAATGTTCAAGAATGCTGAAATAAAGTTAATATTTGTCAGAAAAGAGCCGCTAGATAAAGATAAAATGCCCGACTTATACCTTTTTTAATTAATCTGATTACAGTTTAACATATTTTCACTTGTGTTTCTGGGCTTCAGTGTTTTAAACAGTGTGTTAAATCTCTAAAACAAAGTGTTGCGTGTTGTATCGTGTAGTAAAAGTTGTGTTTGTGTGTTTGGTTCCTCAGAGGGTTGGGGCCGGTCGATTTGGGGTCCCAACGTTCAGGAGTTCCGTCAGCGCTTCGACACGGCGGAGACGAAGGGCGAGGGCACGCGGCGGCTGAAGAACCTCTACTTCCTGTACCTCATCGAGCTGCGCGCGCTCTCTAAGGTTTCTCCGTACTTCGAGAGAGCGTTCGTCAACCTCTACACCGGGAACCGGCAGGAGGACGGAAACACCAAGGAGCTGCTGCTGCAGTTCTTCGATGAGATCAAGTAAGAGGGAATGTTAGGTTTACTAAAATTCACTTTGATCAATCAGAATCAGAAACAGGTTTATCACCAGGTAGGTTTACACAGTATGAGGAATTTGACTTGATGGCGCTGGCTCTCTGCACTGTCCAATCAAATACATGCAAGTGCACATCTGTGGTTAAATAGTTTTAATTTTGAAATGTGTAATCCAAGTGTTCACCTCTTGATTTACCTGAAAACATCACATCCTCAACACCTTTTTTACCAAAGTGCAATTCTCATTGTGTTAGTTCCTTTCAGCCTCAGCTCTGCAGCTTCACTTATCAATGAGTTGATTGACAGAAAATGAAATAGCAGCTATTTTAATGAGCAGTTATTCAGTTTAAGTACATTTCTAAAGCAAAGGGGACAAAACATTCTTCTTAAATGTAAATAATTCCTGCTATTTTCAGACTTTAAACATAGTTGGAAATAACAAATTAATTGAAATAATCATTTTAGTAGTTAAAGCGCTATTATAAATATGAGCATAACTTCCTAACTGTAAGCAGGTATCAATGTATCTGTCCTCTGATCCCTTACAGAGGATAAACAACCTCTCTCTCTTTGTTAAAACTAAATTCCCGACTTAAACTTTGGCTAAAATGTAAAAGTATATCTTAACAGAATAAAATAATATATTTATTAAACATTAACTCTGGTTCTGGTTATTTATTTGTACCCGTATTTGGTTTGCAGTTAAAAGACAAGGGATCCATTATGACACACGCTATGCAGGTTACTTATAATCTTAGTCGATGTTATAAGACTAACGGTTTATTTTGTTTTCCAGAACTTTCCCAATGCACTTTGATGAGAAGTCCATGTTCGCCGGACAAAAAATTGAAGCCAAAATATTAAAGGTAGGTGAATCCAAAATCTAAACCAATATCTCATCACCCAACACACAGACGGAAGAGTCTCTCTCTTTGGCCCTTTCTCATTTCACTAATTCCCCTCCTCGACTCCCCTCCTCGACTCCCTATCCTCGACTCCTATCCTCGTGTCTTAGTCCCGCCCACAGGAGATGCGAGCGGAGGAATCGAGGAGGGGAGCCGAGGAGAGAGGAGGGGAAGCAGCAGGCGGTTAGAGAAATGAGAACTCCTCTCCTCTGAGCGGTCATTTTAAAGAGACGTCCATTAATGATGACAGGAGGCACAGCAGCCCTCTGTCTGATGGACAGATGTGTTCATGACGACTTATAAATTTACTTTGAATTCATTCACAGTGCGGTATAATGAGACAATAACAGGCTATGCGGACACACATGTATATTTCTATATATATTTCTATAAATATATACAATTTCAGATTCAAACAAGTATGAGAGCACTCGCAGCATAATAACGTAACACTATCAGAGACTGGATATATCCCCCCCCCCCCTCTCCCCTCTCTGGTCGCTACAAGGAGGAAAATAAATGACGGGCCAAAAGTTTTATTTACAAGTATTAAAAGTAAGCAGAGGACACCAAACCAACTGAGACCTGTCTGTCCGCCGCAGCTGCGCGCGCACACACGCACACACACACTGTTAAACACGCACCTACAGCTCCTAAAGCATATAATCAGGCTACAGCCGTTGTGTATTTTATTATGTGAAGCACTAAATGGTCTTAGAAAAATATCGACTCTTTGTTTGTAGATATTTACTAAACTAAAGCAAATAAAGAGAGTAGGCCTGTTATACTGAGTGATATATATTATACACACTGCTCTGCTTTCTGCACGGACCTCACAGCTGTTCTCACTGGAAACATCGCGTCGCGATGAAAGCAGTAAATCAAATAATATCCAGGGGATGCATGCAGAGCTGTCATTGGCTGAGATAAGTCCGGCTCTTTAAACATCTCTGTTGCCGGAAATGCATCCGCGGACTAGCGCGGAGGAACCATCAGTGTCTCCTCGATTAGAGCTCCTCCAGAGAGCCTCCTCGATGCTCGGTCCTCGATGTGCATGTAGAGAAATGAGATGTCCTTCAACATGGCGCGCTGAAATCCATTTCCGGGTCACTACCGGAGGACCGAGGAGTCGAGGAGGGGAAATTTGTGAAATGAGAAAGGGCCTTTGTGTGTTTGTGTGTGTGTGTGTGTGTGTGTGTGTGATGTCCACCATTGTTTGACAGGGCAGGTGCCTTTTTGTTGTGATGTGTGTTTGCTCTTGGTATAATTAGCAGTCAAAGCCAGAAGTCCAACTGTTTATTTTATTTATTTGTGGAATCATTTATTTTAAATATCTGTAATATACTGTAATTCAGCTCATCAGTAACACCAGGTTTAACTAACATGTCCTGAATGTTCTTTACCATTTCTTTAAAATCATAAATCTATGCGTCCTAAATCGACTCTAACCCTCTCCTCTCTTCCATCCTTCAGGAGGAGTTTCGCCTCCACTTTAAAAACATCTCCCGGATCATGGACTGCGTCGGCTGCAGTAAATGTCGCCTTTGGGGAAAACTGCAGGTGAGTTCGCTTTAATGTCTGCTTTTAGATCCCCATGTTTACTCTCACAGATCTCACAGATAAAAAATGTTGAGATCCTATTATTGTATTTCTATTACCATCGATCAAAAACAAATCCCACTTTCCCAAAAGAGATGAGTAAAACTGTCTCCAGATCTCTGAATTAAATCACACATCTCAATGAGGTTTTTTAAGTACATGATGCGTACTATAAAAGAAAACAAATTATTTCAATAACAAAAAAGCTACAATAAGAAAACCACAATTCAGCTCAAATTGTATCGTTGACAAAATGTATCTGGTTTATTAAGTTAGAGTTAACTGAAAAAGCATCTTAGTTTTCTCTTTTTATGGAAACACAAGAATAAAAATACATACTATTCCAAACGCAAGTCCCTACCACGTCTCCTTTGAACTAGAGGAGCTCATTGTCAACCTCTAAAACATCTCTTTCAGACTTGTTATAAGTTATTATTACATGGCTTGAATACTTGATTTTGATTGGTCAATTCAGAACACGTGACACGTTGTTAATCCAGTAGTACAGACCGCTGTCAAGGACTTATTGACCGTTGTTAAGGACGCTCACGTCTGCAGAAAGAAAACTGGAACAAGAAAAAAGAAAACAGCGGAGAAGTAACGGGGCAGAAACCCTCAACACGGAGCTGCGGTCCTTTTTTTACTCAACGGTCCAAACATAGACATCAAACGGCAAAACATATTCAGTTGCCAGTTCCTTTGGCATTAGGGCAGGGATATCTAGATACTTTCCAAGCTTTGACATAATGAATTGTGCTACTTTTAAAGCAAGCAACAATGTTTTCAAATCTGTAATCAAAAACCTCCTCAAAAACGCTATCGAAGCAGTTCTTGCCGTTGCTAAGGAGGATCAAGAAAGAGAAAGTAAAAGAGGGTAAAAGACGGAGCGCTGGACGTCAGATAAATCACCAGAAGAAGGCAGAGAGGAAGTAAACACTAATGGCGCGTTTCCACTACACGGCCTCGCTCGGCCTCGCTCGGTATGGCTAGGCCTCGTTAGGACTGGCTCACTTTATGGCGCATTTCCATTACAGTTTAGGAACTGGGGTAGTATCTATGGTAACGCAGTGTAGGCGGAGCCGTGACGTCATCTTCAATGAGAACCCCAGAAAAACAACACAGCCGTTAGCTGTTAGCACTCAGAGCTCACAGCTCCTCATATATGTTCAGAAACTAGACAAAAGTTAAACAAGTACAAACCACAGACTGCCTGTGTCATGGCGAATACAGTCGCTGGTTTATTTATGTCTATATAGGCCGTTGTTGTGAGTGTGGACGGTCGGAGCATATACTGCGTTAGCTTAGCCAATCTCCATTTAGAAAACACGCATTTTAAAAGGTTTTTCCCCTGCCGTCTGTCTGCAGACTTGACAAAGCATTAATTCATGGTTTTTACTAACCGGTATCAGTATGTTGTTACTTCGGCATCATTTTGAAACGTGTATTACAATTAAATCACGGTCAAATATGTCCATCTTGTTGTAGTTGTAGCCCCCTTGCCAGCGATTCTCTCACTAGTTTAGCATACTCAGCCCGACACAGCCTCGTTGTCTCTGGCCCTAGACCCACGATTTTATGAGGCCAGAAAAACTGTGAATTAGGACCCGCCGGCCGGTACTAGGCCAAGTGGAAACGCAACCAAAGACGGGCCGCTGACGTCACAGCTCTCTTAAACGGGGCTCCGCGCTGTAGTGGAGACGCGCCATAACAGGAACACGGTATGAGCTCTGTAGAGTTTAGGGACTTGTTAGTGGATCAGAAACTGTGAACAGAGTTGGACAGTGCTGCCGTAAAGTTGTTGTTGTCGCAGTTCCAGCCGTTGGTGCGCCGTGGAACGGAATTATTTTTTCTTAGCGGAAGAAATACGATTATTTTTAAGTCAATAAAATCATTTCAATTAATATTGGGAGTCGAGTCGTTAGTTTGTGTATGGCCGTGTAATAAGCGGGATAATGTGCAGCGACTTGGTCATTATGGGGAAAAGAATAATGGGGTGTTCTTTTCCCCATAATGACCGCCTCGCTGCACATTATCCCTTACATAGCTCTCTGAACCTTTTTCATATATTTGACTTCATGAGGACACAAGACCGAACTAGCCAGTTCAGTTTGGGTTCAGGCACATTAGAGCCAAATCATTCTGCTGTATCGATGATTTGACTGAAGCAGAACCAGAGCTTTCTCACAGTTTCCCCTTGTGTTGTTTGGTGTGCAGACGCAGGGTCTGGGCACCGCTCTGAAGATCCTGTTCTCTGAGAAGGAGATCCAGAACCTCCCGGAGCACAGCCCGTCTAAAGGCTTCCAGCTGACCCGGCAGGAGATCGTGGCCTTACTCAACGGGTTCGGCAGGTAACATGAAGGCTAATTGGTCCTTAGATTGCAACAGAACCGACATTTTGGACTGAAGGCAACTAGCTTATTATCTCTAAAACGTCCTGTAAAACATATGATGAACATATTGTTGAATGTTTGAGAACATTCAACAAACATTGTCAAAAAAGTCTCTGTGTCGATGAGTTAAAACATTTAATTTGAATGAAGTTGCTTTCGCAGCATGACATCTGATACGGTTCATGCTGTTTCTAAAGGTCTCGTGCTGCTGTCCCATCGCTCTGTTCAGTGCAAAATGGCAGCTGCACTAGTTGTGTCACTTTTCTCTCACCACCTCTCTCTCTCTCTCTCTCTCTCTCTCTCTCTCACCACCTCTCTCTCTCTCACCCTCACCACCTCTCTCTCTCTCTCTCTCTCTCTCTCTCTCTCTCTCTCTCTCTCTCTCTCTCTCACCACCTCTCTCTCACCCTCACCACCTCTCTCTCTCTCTCTCTCTCTCTCTCGATTCGATTCGATTCGATTCGATTCAATTCAATTCAATTCAATTCAATTCAAAGGGGCTTTATTGGGATGAAAGTTAACAACATTAACATATCTCTCTCTCTCTCTCTCTCTCAGGTTGTCCACCAGCATTCAGCAGCTGCACAGTTTCCGCCTGCTGTTGAAGGACAACAGGTAACAGCAGGTGATCTCACCTGGCCAATAGGAGGCTCCGCCCCCAGAGACCTGCAGGAGTCTAATCCAGCCAAGAAAAAGGCCTTTTTCATGGACATCAGGATCAGCAGTGAACCATTAACACCTTCTTCTTCTCCTTTCTATACCTCCTCCTCTTCCTCCTCCTCCTCCTCCTCCTCCGTCTGGCAGGTCTTGAATGTTAACTCTCGCCCCCTCTTGCCTACGTCAAAACTCCCAACGTTTTTTTTCTTCTTCTTGTTCTTTCTGCTGTAAATCTTGTCGGCCATTGACAAACCTTTTTCATTGTTTTGTTCTCCTTTGAGACGTTGACCTGTAAAATCAGCAGGTGGTCTGTGGTGTTGGACAAACCCCGAGGAAATGATCCAAAGTTTGGAAGGAAGTGACGAAACTGACCAAATTTGACACGACAGACTTGGAACGCCGGGACCAGGAAGTGTGTCCAACAGGAAGTGAATTTAATGTTTTCTTTCCTGCTGACCCCGCCCTCTGCCGACATCACATCCTGTTGGATTTGCACTCATGTGAACCCGAGTCAAACCTTTTACTGTAAGGATATAGAAATACTTTCTCCTGAGAGAGGACTCAGCCAAAACGGTTTTCCAGATAAAAGTGAGTCTGAGGATTATGCTGCCTGTTTTTTTTTTTCCGTTTCCTTTTCCTCTCCTCATCTTCTCCGGCGTTTGACGTTTGTTGCTCGAAGCCTGAGGATTTGGACCAATCTGCTTGAGTTTACCATCTCAGGCTTTACACATGTCAGCTCGCTAGAACACTGTGTGCGTGCGTGTGTGTGTGTGTGTGTGTGTGTGGATCAACAGTTGCAGCTATAAGATAATGGACTATGACTTGATTCCATTGCTCACCTTGATACTGTAGCAGATTTTTGCTCTCTTTCGATAATAGCTAATAATTCTAAGCTTAGTTTTTTGATGAGTCATGTTTCTGTCTGTCTAGTCGCTGCCGTGTGTTTTGCAAAGCTGACGCCTCCTTTTCTTCGGCATTTATTTTTGCTTCGGCCATGTTGTCTTAAAGCACACCTTGAATCAAGATAGATTTATTTAAATAGGACAAATAGAGTTATTAGGTGTTCTTGAGATGCTTTAGAGTTTATTTCACGCTGGTTATTTCCACATGAGAGACCCAGGAGGTGTGATTGCACAGGAGAGGATTGGGTTTAAAGGAGCGGCTGCAGATCAGCAGGAGGCTGGAGGTGACTCACAATGTTTCAGGAGCCTCTAGGAGTGAGAGAAAAACAACTTTAATGTCCAGCGCTCTGCAGAAACATTCTCCTGAAAGCATGAGTCTGGAGTTATTCTTTATCTAAATTCTTACAGATTGTCTCGTATAATGTTATGACTTCCTGTCTTTGGCGTCTACAGCTCTAACCCAATTGGATCATGAGGACGTAAATCTTTAAAAAACACAAACGAGTGATTTTCTCAAACAGGAGGAAATGGTGCATTATGTTTGAATAGTTTTGGATGTAAAAGGATCTCTGTGGCACAGAGGAAGAAGATGAATCATGATTTGATGCAAACACACAATACATGTTGGTAGATACATCCATTTCTAAGTTGTTGTTTTTTTGGATTTGTTGGAAAAATATAGAATATCACCAAACTTCTAGGTGTTTAACCTTGAGAGAGATGTATCTTTGAAACAACATAGAATAACTTGACACGGTGAACAAGCTGATTAAATAGTTACAGTTGGTAAGCAACGTCAAACAAGCAAAGGACTATTTGCTGACGTACGCCATGTTTTACGGAGTGTGCAGTAGATTTTGGAATAATGGGTAAAGCTGCAACAACCACAGCTGAATATCATAGGCTGACACACCTGTCAATCAAACAAAAACAGCTGTTTCTCATGCTTAACTAAATATATGAAGTCTACTATTTTTACACCTTACTCGGGACCTATCATGCTGTTTGGGGTTTTCCCTTTTCCTGTATTGTGTTATACGTTTTTGTGCGTGTAAATGGTCTTCTAAGCTTAAAATCCAAAATGTCTAAGGGGCGGGACATCTCCTAGCTGTTGACCAATCACAACAGAGTCGGCCAGCTAACCAATCAGAGCAGACTGGGCTCTGGTTTCAGACAGAGGGGGAAAAGAGGTGCTGCAGCACAGGCAGTATGAGACAAATAAAGAGCTTTTTGAACATTAAAGCACGGAGACATGTCCCAGTAGAGACACTAAATACAAATGAGGACAATAGGGCCCCTTTTTAAATAAAATGTGACTTTGTATTTTAAGAAACAGGTGCTTTCGAAATTGAGTTCAATAGATACATCTTATATAATAGACTTCATTTAGTGGCTGTTTTCTTTGCCGTCACTCTCCAGCTGTGGTGGTTGCGGCTTTGTGGTCTGCTAATAAAGTTTTATACAAAGGCTACGATGGATTTACGAGGCGATTTTACAGATTATTCAGATTCCTGTCGATATAGTTTTGTTTCGCTCAGCAGTGAAAGCATAACGTGGACCAAAGAGTTTTAAGTTGCCTACTTTATTTATGTGTTTTTGTTTGTTTGTGATGCCCAGAAAGTGTTTTATGTTTTAGTTTATTAATTATTATATTGATAAAAAAGAGACGTGATGTTACACGTTATCAGATATATTTAAGGTTTTTTTTCCTGGTCATATAGTTTAAGAGGATTAGTCTAAAGTACTTTATATGTAATTGTTGAAAAAATTACAATTTAAAGATTCATAATAATCGTTAAGTCCCATCTTCTGCTTTAATGCAATTTATATTTATTGTTGATTGAGGGGGCAAACATGTTAAACTAAATGATGGAAGTGACCACTTTTATTTTCTGTCATATAATCCAAGATTTTTGAAATAAATTTTTTGAATTACTTAGTTTTCTTTCTACCAGAAAGTCACACGTCATAGATCGAGAAAAGATGGGTTTTCAAAATAAATACACATCTGATTTAATTAATAGTATTACATTTCACAAGCAGGCATTCAGTTTTTTATCAAATAAAAATGATTTCCCATTTTCTTTGCTTCGATAAAAGTACTCTTATATTAAATAATTTAGTCTGATTTATTTGTTTCTGTGTGGGATTGAGACAGGAATGATATGATGCTCAAAGTGTGTGTGTGTGAGACAGTGTGAGACGTGTGTGTGAGAGAGAGACGTGTGTGTGTGAGAGAGACATGTGTATGTCCTCCTCTGAGCCTTGCATGCCCTCCAGCAGCAGGACGTCCCGTACACTCGTCAGCCTTAAAACTAAATTGCGATTTAGGAAAGAGACAAACCTTCTTCAGACCTTCCGGCTCTTCGTGTTGGGATCCAAACCTGTAGAGTTTTTTTTGTAAAAGGCAGCAGTTTTCTTTTGTTTTGCTTACAGATCTTTAAGAATATATATAGTTGCACCATGTTGATGTGTGTACCTGTTGAGTATATTTATTTGAAAAGAGGAATAAATATTTCTGGACATCACTGAATTCTTTTTGGTTATTTATTATTGTTGCTTTTAAAGGGGACCTATCATGCAAAATGCACTTTTTGATGTCTTTTCTACATAAATATATGTCCCTGGTGTGTCAGGGAACTCACGCAGCGTCAGAAAATAAAACCCTCTCTCTTTTCCTCCGTACTCAATCTCTAAAAACGGGGCTACAACGGAGCTGATCCAGATTTTCGTCCGATATGACGTAATATCTGAAATGTGGACCCACGGCCCAATCAGAAACGTTGCTATCAGAAACAATGCCCGACTGTTTTGGACGTAATATGGTCGGTGTTTACATTAGCATCGCTAACACTCAGAGCTAACCTGTACTGGAGAGCATGTGTGTGAAGAAGCAGGAAATAAAAAGGAACTCACCTTGTGGTATAACCGGCAAGAGAGAAAGCCTTTGAGCTCCATACTGTTTCAGAAAGAATCCTTGATAATCCATGATATGGCGTTTCATCACGGCAGTATTTAGTTTAGACAGTAGCTGCAGGGTCCCGCATGAGCTCAGCCCCCTCCTTTTTTTTAATCAATTTTTTTATTTATTTTTTTAAAAGCTTTATACCCCAAATCAGCACTTTTGAGAAAAATAAAAATAGCATGAAAGGTGCACTTTAAGGAAATGACCTTACTTCTCAAATAATTAGTGAATCAATACCCGAACTCTTCCTGATGAGTTTAGGGTCTTTCAATTCTTCCAAACAGGATATTTTTATATTTATAGTGGTGCATGAATCTAAAACAAGAAATTAGCTTCTTGTCTTTTTGGTTCGATGACTGAAATATATATATTTGTCATCACTGCACCACTCTCTGTCTCTTGGTCCCTTTTAACTTAAAATAGATGATAAACCAGGGTAACCAGGATTAAGGGCGGCGCTACTTTTTATTGACATGTTGCTACCGCTGTGTTATTCATGTGTTCGGGGCTATTCATGTTCTCGTCTTACAACTTAATTATTTTCACGGTCTGTTTCAGAAAATAAAATGTAACTGTAATGTTTTTTTCCCCTAAAAATGTTCCTTTTTCAGCATTTGGTTGTACTTCGCTTTATCCTCTGGTTCACTTCTGGTTAGCAAACAAACAAGATGGCGGCAGCAAAATGCCAAACTTGAAGCTCCAAACTCAAAAGTTAAAAACCCAAAGTATATCTAAGAGATGAAATGAAGTCACGAGGTAAGAATGAAATGTGCATGTCAGTTGAAATGGCAATTTTATTGTAGTGTCACAAACACGATAACCACAGTCACACAAACAAAGAGCTCCACAACAAAATGCACAATCTCTTTACAAATAACTTAGAAAAATGTTCGTCTTTTAGAAATATAGACTTTTTTTCTGAACATTGTTACAGAAATGTGAACAACCACAAAACAAAACTCATATTAACAAAAATGTAATGATGGGTTGAACCTCAAAATCATGTTTTTCCACATTATTATTACATTTACATGGGTTACAAGTCAAACCCAACATTACATAATTTGTTAATATTTGGATATTTTGAGGTGACCATAAATACAACACAGGTGTTCAGCTGTCTGGTTATATATATGTACAGGATACTGATTATGTTGAATCATTGAACAGTTCAGGTGTGTGTTGAGTGTGTGTATGTTATAATATATATCGTTTTACTTTGATCTATCTTTTTACACTCAAGAACTTAAAACATATAAAATGACCCGGGGAGTTTTCAGGGATTATTCAGATAAGGAAATTTAATTATTTCTCTGTCAACCTCCAGATATAAATTCAAACTTAAAGGTAGGTAGGTAAGAATGGAGAAACCAGCTCGAGTACGCAGCCGAAAAAAAATCTGCCCCTTCCTTCAGACTTCCTTACAGAGCCCCTCCTCCAACACACACGAACGTGCACATGACCAATGAGGGCACGAGATAAGTTTGTGCACAGATGGAAGGCTGACAGGCAGGTAGGCCATCCAGTTATTTTAGCCGGGCCGGCTCAGATGATTGGTCGTGCTTTTTACAGTACTACGGCTTCCACAGATGACATTTTTTATGTATTTATTGTCAAAGCATTTAAGATATTCATTGCTATCGGGATGTTAAGAGCATTCCATGGAATATAACAAAAAGTGTTTCTGAAGTGAATTACCTACCCCACCTTTAAAGGAAGAGTTTAATATTAAAAACCAAACTGAATTCACTTGTATTACCCTGTCAGATTGTCTCAGATATTTGTGCAATTGCTAATTTTCAAAGTGCCTTGAGTACATGATCGAAAAACTGCAAGAAATTGAACATTTGGAGAATTGGTTTCAGTTAAGTCAGGATAATTGTTAATTAAACAAATTAAAGGTAGATTTATTTGGCTTACTTGCTGAAAAACTCCCCAAAAGATCAAGAAACATTCTCTAAAACATTCATCACGACACCGTCTACAAACTGTCAGTCTATAACACATGGACTCTCTGAAGCAGGGCTCCTACACAGAGTTCAGGCTTTTACACAAGCAACTCATTTGCATATCCTTTATAACGGTTTTATGTCTCATGAATTACTTTTTTGAGATTAATACTTTCACAAAGAAAGCAAATATGTGGAAAAAATGCAGAGGCAAGACAAGGTTCATTTAAGTATTGCCTGTTCTGCAAAACCCTCCAAATAATGTTGTACATGTGTACACAAGCTACCTCTCATCCTCTTCCATAACAATACTGAACATAGTTGATGTATTTCATTATTCCAAGTACTTTGTATAATAGTATCAATTGTTTTTATTTAATTTGTTGGTTGGTTTTCTTACTTTTGATGAAACATGTACACCAAGACGAATTCCTCATAAGAGTTAACTTACTTGGCAATAAACCTGTTTCTGATTCTGAATCCGATGTGAGGAAAAGAGAGGAAAAAATGCATTTCTTTTATGCATGATTGTGTAATGGCTGGTGTGTAAAGGCCTTGACTGACTCTGGATCATTTCTGATCAAACCTCATGAACCGATTTGAATGATTAAAAACAATGTGAAGCTGCAGTACTGGATGAAATTCGACCTTTAGGATGCACTAAACTACATATATCACTAGATACGGTCGACATTAAGGTGACATTTTAATCAGCAGCATTTGGGTTTTCTTTAAACCACTAGGTCTCATTCTGTCACTTAAAATATCTAAACAACTTATAACTTGATCTATTAAAGGTGGGGTAGGTAATTTTGGAGAAACCAGCTCGAGATCGCTAGAATTTGAAAATACACAGCGGGAGAAAATCTGCCACTTCCTTATAGAGCCCCTCCTCCAACACACACGAACGTGCACATGACCAATGAGGGCACGAGATGGAAGGCTGACAGGCAGGTAGGCCATCCAGTTATTTTAGTCGGCTCAGATGATTGGTCGTGCTTTTTACAGCACTACGGCTTCCACAGATGACATTTTTTTTATGGATTTTTTGTCAAAGCACTTAAGATATTCATTGCTATCGGGATGTTAAGAGCATTCCATGGAATATAACAAAAAGTGTATCTCGAGCCGGTTTCTCAAACTTACCTACCCCACCTTTAATGTGTTTGATATGAACATCACGGTAGCATCAGAATTTTCGACATACTGTAAATGTATGCAAAATAGCCAGATGCATTGTGGCAAGTGTTAGCAGCGAAACACTAATGGTGTGTTATGGTGTATTATTGTATTATGTTATTGTAACTGTTATTGTGCTGCAGTATTAATATATTGTAATTAAAGCAAAAACCTGATTCGTCTCTGTGTAGGAACCCTGCTGAACATTCAGGTATTTTCTCTAAATTCTCTACAAACCTCTACATCAGTTATGATAAGAAACACAATAACTGATCGGTGTGAAAGTGCGGAGTGGTGCTGTACAGTGAAGAGGGGCATTATGGGTAAGGGTGCAGCTCCCCCCCCCCGGCGGTGAGGCGCTGCTCGTCTCCGTTGGTGTGAACCGTGAAGCTGCTGTGGCGACTGCCCCAGTCGTAGCAGTCGGAGGAAAGACTGTTGGAGAGAAGAGGAACAGGTCAGAGGGTTCATTCATTCATCTACTTTTTATTATTATTATTAATCATTATTATCAATTTGTTTAATTCTATAAATTGTTCTGTTATTTTGTATATATATTTATTTGTATTGCTTTTATTATTATTATTATTATATTTATTATATTATTATTTATTTTATCTTATCTTATTTTATATATTATTATTAGTATTATTATTATTATATTATTATCTTTTATTTTATGTGTATTATTATTTATTTTATATTATTTTACATATTATTATTAGTATTATTTATCCATGCATAATGGATAATGGACATCATTTAAATTGAGAAATGTTATAACAGCATGGACATGGTGACGTCAGTGATGGTGCTCGTACCTTGCTGATGCATTCTGGGGAGGGATGCTCCACGCCAGGTCATCGTCACTGTCGTACCGTCGAGGATTGTCAAAGAAATATCCTCGAGAGGAGAGAACGTGGTTCGGTATCCCAGCTGTGCTCTGAAGGGAGAAAGATACTCATCGTGATGAAGAAATAAAAAAGACAAAGGCTCTGCTGATATAACCCGTTATCTAACATCAGGTGATCCTCTCATCCTGCAGCCAGAGAGGGCAAAGTACACACATCCTTTACTCAAGTAGAAATACAGATACTCGTGTTTAAAAATACTCTGGTGAAAGTAGAAGTACTGACTAAACTTCTTTACTCAAGTAAAAGTAAAGAAGTATGGGCTTTGAAATGTACTTAAGTAAAAAGTACCCATAACTAGCAGCTGTTTTAAAGAGTACCTGACCTCCCTTTATATTAATAGAACAATAATGTCATTGTTAGCTAATGAATGTTTCCATGCTGAACAACGGCAACATGACAACGTTTTCATTGATCCCTCTTCTTTAGAGAAGACCAGGAAATGATGGATACACGGATCGTGTTCAAATCAATAGGCACGCAATGACTCTAAATAATAATGATCAGGCCACCAAACACACATTCAAACTAAAGGAACCAGCCTGTTTGGAAAATGTAAGAAGTAGAAAGTACAGGTATTTGTGTTCAAAATGTAAGAAGTAGAAAGTAAAAAGTCGTCAGAAAAACAAGTAGTGGAGTAAAGTACTGATACCAGAAAAATGTTCTTAGGTACAGTAACAAAGTATTTGTACTCCACTACTTCCCACCTCTGCCGGCAGCCAAACAACAACCAGGTATAAGTGTTGCAGAGGTCAGAGGTCACATGACCCCGATAGGAAGACTGACCCGTTCCTGCGGCGGCCGTCGGACCCTGAAGAAGAAGACGACCAGCGAGGTGGGCAGCAGCTCCCAGACGAACAGGATCACCCCGAACACGATGTAGCCGGCGTCTCCCAGAGACGAGCGCAGGTCCGCCTGGAGACACACACATTTATGTTTAGTGTTTAATTTTATTTTTTGTTCTGTTATAACGCCTTGTGCGGAATGCTTTGGCAAGTTTAAAATGTGGTCATGCCAATAAAGCCCCTTCGTATTGTATTGAGTTGTATTGAGTTGTATTGAGTTGTATTGTATTGAGTTGTATTGTATTGAGTTGTATTGTATTGAGTTGTATTGTATTGAGTTGTATTGTATTGAGTTGTATTGTATTGAGTTGATTAACCCACGTACAAACTTGAGGTACTTGTACTTTATTTATACATTTTTTATAATTAGTACTAGAACTATAATAAAAATTACTAATACTAAAAACTTTGATATGATTGCTTACATAGTTGGAAGTACATTTTTTTTAAAAAAGTCTATATTAGTTTAAATTTAAATACAATGATCTAAATTCTAAACAAATAATTCATGGAGTAAGTTATTTTGTTGAAATAACTTAAACATGTCTAGTTGCAGTCCTATACAAAACAGTTCAAATGCTCTGCCTCATTATCCTTTTTTTGGAACCTGGATACTGATTGCTCCCAATATAACAATATAGAGTTTTTTAATTAGATTGGAATTAGAATTAGATTATTTTTTATCAAATTGAGGTATTTACAATCCAGTGTGCAATATAATGCAACAGAAGAAGAGGTAGCGTATATGTCAAATAAACGTCATCGAGCTCATGACGTTGGTCCACACAAGCAAAATGCTTGAAAATTCTAGGTTGAGCTTATTTGGTTTAATTGAATGCTCTGTGTGAATTTCAGAAACTGTCCTCATGGAGATAGAAAACTCAGAAAAGTGTGTGAAAGTGTGTGTGCTCTTGGGCCCCCTATAGGGCATTCCAGGAAAAACAGGTGGACTGGCAGGTGGAATTTTCTGATTGGCTAAGGCAGCTGAATTTTCTGATTGGCTAATTTCAGTCATGTGAGACCATGACAGTAAGGCTGCAGAGGAACAAACTAGAGACATGCAGTACATTTAAACTAGAACACAACTGAAAATATATATTTGAATGCAAATCTAAAATTACATATGTTTGACAGCTTGTGTTGCTTTCCTGTTTTTCATCCCCTTCTGATATTCTCCTTGTTTTTTAACTCTTAATCTTTGTTTTATTTTTATGTATGACAACACCTAGTCAAATTCCTCGTATGTGTCAACCTACCTGGTAATAAACCTGTTTCTGATTCTGATTTAGCTAAAACATCAATCAATTGGAGAAAAACAAACATAGAGCCTCACCTGGTCTGAGACGTTGTACCAGTCGTAGTCGAAGGAGTTGATGGTCTCGATGTTAGTGAGGGCGAGCACCACCAGGTTGTAGCAGGCGCGCGACGCGTACAGCAGAACCACCATGATGCCGATCAGAGTCACCTGACACACCGACGTCCCCTAAACACACACACATATATCACTCATTGTTATTCATTTGAATTAACATTTTACATGTCATGTTTGTGATGTGATTGTGATGTGCTATATGTGACATGTATGTAGTAACGTGTGTTGTTTGCATTTTATTGTTCTCTTTTATCCTTTTGCCTCCATCTACTTGTCTTTCATCCTTTCTTTATAACTAATGCTGTTGATGTATTGTGATTTTAAAAAGGTGTCCATTACCATCTGGACAACAGCTGGACATTAGCAATGTTGGCTAAAGCTGCCCCATTTACTGTTTTTTGTGACAGTTGATCAATGGGGACTGTCCACGACACTATAAACCAATAAACTAAACTAATGTATGTGATGCGTGATGGAATTAATTTTTTTCTTGCAGTCATGAAAATTGGAATATTCAAGAAGTAAATATCAGGGTCAGTGACGCTGCACAAGATCATGAACTGAGGTTGAAGGCTAAGGAAAGTTATTTGGGATTATTACTTGCTTTAGTTGTTGTTATCTTTAAAGACTATACCTTAGACTTATTACATTTTAAAATGTCATGTATGTGATGCCTGATGGAATTAATTGCAGTCATGAAAACCTGGAATATTATGGAAGGAAATATCAGGGTCAGTGACCTGAGGTTGAAAGCTAAGGGAAGTTATTGAGTGAACATCTTTGGGATTATTACTTGCTTTTTAATTGTTTGACTCTAGAGACTAAACCTTTAGTTGTTTTTATCTTTGAAGACTTTACCTTAGACTCCAGGTAGATGTTGGCCAGCGACATCTTGGCGACCTTGTAGAGGCAGACGGAAAGCGAGATGGCGCAGAGGACGAACAGGCTGTCGTTGATGGTGACCCTCACCAGGACGATGGTCTTCACGTCGGCCGCCGTCATTTTGACCAGCAGGGCACAGACCAGATTAACCACGAGGAAGAGGAGACTGACGCCGAAGAAGACGAGGTACAGAGGAAGTCTGCAGGAGAAACAAGAGATTATAACCGTTAAAAAGGCGCGATTGTGCGCATGTTCAGGTTCATATCAGTATGTAGTGTCTCTGTGACATGTCTCCATGCTTTAATGTTCAAAAAGCTCTTTATTGTTCTCATACTGCCTGTGCTGCAGCACCTCATTTCACCCTCTGTCTGAAACCAGAGCCCAGTCTGCTCTGATTGGTTAGCTGGCCGGCTCTGTTGTGATTGGTCAACAGCTTAGATATGTCCCGCCCCTTGGCTTATCACGTACAATGTGTTGGAGCGCTAGCCAATAGAAGCGTGAGTGTTACAAAGTGATGTCAAAATGTTCTGGACCTTTGGGGATGTTAGCCTTTGCAGACCATTTACATGCACACAACCCTATATAACACACTATGGGAAAGGGAACGCCCAAAAAGCATAATAGGGGCTCTTTAAGTGCATTTTACAGATCTAAATCAGTCGATACGTTGAAAAGAAAACACTGTTTGATAATCGGTGTGATTTTTTGGATACATGTTGGAAGTGTGGGAGTTTCATTGTGGAAACAGACTCCCTTAATTCAGTCAGGGTGAGTTGTTTGAAGAAAAGTTACCTGTACTTGAGCAGTGAAGGTGTGTACTTGGACTTTGCCTTGAAGTAGACCTGTAGAGGGGAGAGAAAAAAAGATTGTTACACACTTTGTTATGATCCTGGGTCATTATGTCACTGTTTTGTGTGTGTGTGTGTGTGTGTGTGTGTGTGTGTGTGTGTGTGTGTGTGTGTGTGTGTGTGTGTGTGTGTGTGTGTGTGTGTGTGTGTGTGTGTGTGTGTGTGTGTGTGTGTGTGTGTGTGTGTGTGTGTGTGTGTGGTACCGTAGGCCTTTTGGCAAGTTACTATATGTGTTGTTAATCTTAGGCCTGTGTGTGGCAAATGTGTTTTTTTGGAATTAGATAAGACAGGAACCTCTGTATTATTGTAATTATTTACTTAATGAACATTTTAGGTTTTGAACTAGCAGTAGTAGGAGTTTGATTACTCAATATTCCCGGTTTTCTCCTGTTTTGATGTTAGGAGCCGTGAGAAGCTTGTCTTTTGTTTGGCTTTGCTTTTTTGGTTAGGTCAGTTTAGAGTACTTTGTGTTTAGAAGTTTTGTTTCTTACGTCGGGAGAAAAATGTTAACTGCTAATTAGATTTTCTCTCTGACGCTTCTTGGGAGCGTGAAGAGTTCTTCAGCCTGGCTGCAGACCTCTGACTCTCACACTTGGTTTGTAATATGATTCAAAGTGATGTGCCACTCCTGATATTTTCCCTATGGTGTCCTGATGGAAGCCATTGAATGAAGATCCTTTACGAGTGTCACTGTGACTTGTTATGTGATGTGCATGGACTAAGACTGATGCTGTTAACATTTCAGTTCCACTTATTTTAACTTAGTAAGTGATCTGAGTACTTCCTCCAGCACTTTGCTCACTTTACTCAGAGCCAGTCTAGAAATCACTTCATCGATTACTGCCTCCTCTCTGACCGAAGGGGAACCTTCATTACAGAAATAAGACACCGTGGTGTTTGGTTGGAAAAATAACCTGCGTCATCTCGGCTCTCATTAACGATTGCTGCTAAAGAGCTTCTATTATGTCTTTATCTTCTGGTCTATTTCTGAACTGCCAGCAGCTGGATGAATGGACGAAGAGGAGAGGCAGCTGCTGATCATCCTCAAAAAAACTTGTAATACGATTCATCCAACCATAGGCTGGTTGACGTAGCAGTTTGTTGTCAGTGATTGCCTGCAGGTATTCAGGTTGTAGAGTAAGTCTCAATTTTTTGTAGGGATGGTGTTTTATTTTCCTTCTGTCCACCAGTAGAAATGTGTTCAAGCAACACACTGATCTCCACGTTCATTTTAAATCTCTTTGTCTTGACAAACTTAAAGTGGGCCTCGAAGTTTTTTGCATATCAGTGCAGAGAAAAATCACCTTTAACCTCGAGTGTGTGTCTCAAAAAGCAAGCATACTATTGACGTGTTCAGTTCAAACAGAATTAGCAGTTGGTGCACACCAAAGTGAAGCTTGTCCAAGATCTTCTTTGTAATTTCCAAATGTGTCAATTTACTGAACATTGAATTTCACTTTGAAAAGAAGTAGCATTTAGGCTAGCAACAAACACGTCAAACTTAAGACTGTTGAATGGAAGATAAAGAGTTATTTCTCCTCTCAGTTAACCTGTACAACTGTCTCGTCCATGCATGTCAGACTTTTGTGGCCTTTTGTATGTTGTTAACTTTCATGGCCGTAGCTACATCGAAGTCGTCTCCATTCTAGTTTTCACCTACCAAGCTCTGACTGGTTAATAGAAATAACACTTTTGAAGATTCCGTATCTCAATCCGTAGGGGCTTGGTTAGGTAAGTGTAGTAGGAAGTTTAGGAAGTGTAGACTGGAAGTAGCTGCTCCTAATACTAAATGCAGAGGCTACATTTCACAGTGTGCTGTGTAGACGTTTGAGGTTTTAAAGGTCCCATGTCATGCTTTTCTGGTTATTACCCGTCCCCTTGTGTGTTATGTAGCTTGTTATGCATGTAAACGGTCTGCAGAGTCAAAAACCCTCAAATTACACCCTGTAGCGAGTAAAACTCTAACACAGAAAAGACCTGTCTATGCTGCCCCAGAACGCCTCGTTGGAGATTTTTCTTTTTCCATTGTTTTCTTCTTATAGTGTAGTAAGTACAGTGACGTATTGGGTATAGTGACGTAACGTCACTATACGTGAAGATTGAGTGTGTGTGTACGAAAAGATTGAGTGTGTGTGTGTGAGGAAGTCCGCGGATTGGTCCAATCCGCGGACTTCCTCACACACACACACACTCAATCTTTTCTCAGCTGCAGCTCCGCGGATTTCTCAGCCTGAACTCAGCCTGAACTCAGCCTGAGACGGCGAGACGCGGCGGGGCTCGGCCTGAGCACACACACAGACTCACAGCCAGGCTGCAGGTGTGTGTGTGGCCAAGTTGCACGTACGAACTGCGCATGCGTGAGTGGCAATAACTCTCCTTACCAGCAGGCGGCGGTAGTGTGTATTCGTCATTCAAAAGAGGCAACAACCGGAAGACAGACTGCGTGATAACCGAGAGAAGAAGAACAGACTGTGTGATATAAACAAACAACAAATAGCGTGTGCGTTCCATTTTCACTCTACAGCGAGAAGCTCATGGGGCTTTCCCGAACCTGTGTCGAGAGCTGGAGTTAAATGAAATCTCAGATTTGCCTTCTTAATAGTTTGTTTGGGTCCCTCACTTCCGTTTCGCTTCTCATGCACTGATTCGCTAGCTGAACAGCCAATCAGAGTGATTTCTTTGGCCGACGGCCTCCCGATTCAACATGTCGAATCGGCGGCGGAAGGTGTCGGCACGGCCGAAAAGACACAACGGTGCAGTACACACCAATCTGAGTAGGGCGACACGGCGCTCATCGACGGCCAGACATCTATCGACGCCGAAAATCGGCTCGGTGTGTAAGGAGCTTTAAAGAGGTTAAAGAGAAACTTAACACCAGTCTGAAAAACTGAGTTTTGCTGCCCTCTCTGGTTGGAGGTTTAAAGTCTGCTGCAGTCTGATGGGTGTGGTCAGAGGAATACCTGTAACCACACCCAGCCGTGATGTAATGATGTCACAGTGTACCAACACACCCTGAAGTACACTTCTACATCACCTGGAGACAAGTTAAAGCACCAGGAGACAAGTTAAAGCACATCGTGGACCCGTTTCCCCTCACCTGAGCGCAGTAGAGGTTCATGAGGCTGAGCGTGAAGAACTGCAGGCAGACGGGGAAGCAGTAGAGCAGCCAGAAGGCGAAGGGTCCGAGAGCGTTGGCGGTCACACAGTCTCTGAAGTAGAAGGAGAAGAGGAGGGCTCTCAGGGCGGCCCACAGCAGACACAGGAACAGGAAGGCCGTCTGGTAGCTGAAGCGCTTGTGTCGGTATCTCAGAACCAACCACAGCTGGGCGTAGACGAAGGCGAAGAGCAGCGAGTAGAAGATGGTGTAGGCGATGGTGAGACCCAGCTTCACGTAGGGAGGGATTGCCGGCGTGATGGTGGGAGGGGGAGGGAGGTGGGAGTCGTTACCGGCATGCTGCTGCTCCAGGATCCCCTCCATCGCCTCCCCATTCATCCCTCCTGTTCCCCACAGAGGAGGGAGGGAAGACAGCGCTGATCTCTGGGTGGAGCAGAAGAAGAAGAAGAAACGTGTCTCAGATCGTTAGACGGATCCTCCACATCCATCCACTCTCCTCCAGACACACGATCTGACTCACAGAGAGCAGCAGGAGGAGGAGAGACACCACCCCTCTTTTTGCCGGTGCCTGGTGCAGAGCGATTGGTGGCTGGGGGTCATGTGATCACACTCCCCAGCAGGCGATTGGCTGAGCAGGAGGAGGATGCTGCAGAGAGGAGAGGAAAGGTGGAGAGATGGAAGGAGAGAGAGGTGGGAGCTGTGGTACCACCCACCACACACACGCACACACACACACACACACACACACACACACACACACACACACACACACACACACACACACACACACACACACACCACACACACACACACACACACACACACACACACACACACACACTAACTGCGTCACAGCAGCGTCATACAGGCAGCTTTGACTGATACTGCTTTCTTCAGACAGATACGGATGGATATAGAAAAACGTGGTTTGTGGCAGCAGTTAAACACGTGGGGGTTTTAATGCTTTTTAAATTATTTTCTTTGTGTAGTGAGTAGATAAACACATGCACAACAATGCTGCAGAATTCATTGTTAAACATTTACATAAAGATAGTCAGAGGAGAGTAATTACTGACTGAAAGAAGGAACAATTAAACCTGAATGTAAATAATTTATAAAGAAATAATGATTAATAATAAAACAAGTGAATAATTATTGACTCATAATAAATTGATGAATAGATTTAATAAACACCTATAAGGGGTTAAAAGGTACAATGCCACACAAATTCAAACTACTCCTTTCCAAAATGTAAAATGCCCACATCAAAATTGTAAACATTGTACTAAAAAAATCACAAAATAATATAAAAAACACTTTCATTTTGGGAGGTTTTATTTAGATTACAGTTTATTCATTAGAGATCATGAGTAATTCAAGAATCGACCCAATGTCTTTTGAATTGACAAAATAAGAAGTGTTTTTTTTTTTTGAAGATTAGCGCCTAGACATTTCGATTTCTAGATAATTTCTTTCAAGCAGACAGTCAGTGCAGTATTGATTGGTTCGGTAGTCAAAATATGTGTAGCATCACATTCATCCGGTTACACTGGAGGATAAGTGAATGGCCAATACTGAAGTTACTATCAGTACAACACTAATTTAAACCTCCTTCTCCTCCTCCTCCTCCTCCTCCTCCTCCTCCTCCTCCTCCTCCTCCTCCTCCTCTACCTCCTTCTCCTCCTCCTCCTCCGCACTTCTTCTTCTCTGCTTTTACATAACAGGCGGTTGTTAGATAATACAGGAAGCAGCTCGTCTCCTCACGCTGACGACAGAGACACACACTCCATTTTTTATCCAACTAATTTGATTCAGTTTACTTTCACGCTAAAAGATGACGTGGATTTGAAGGAGATATGAAATACTTTAGATATTTGGATGAGGTTATCAAAAAAGATTGTCATTTGAAAGTCATTGTACTTCATGTTTAACGCTTTATTATGCACAGTAGTTATGCTTTATAAACCATTGTTAACACCTGTGTGTGTGTGTGTGTGTGTGTGTGTGTGTGTGTGTGTGTGTGTGTGTGTGTGTGTGTGTGTGTGTGTGTGTGTGTGTGTGTGTGTGTGTGTGTGTGTCAGTCATATGAAGGCATTAGGAAATGGCTATTTAGGAGACTTTCTCTTACGTGTTGGTTAGTAACTAAGTACATTTACTCAATTACTTAATTATAAAACATATTTAGAACATTGTAATTATAATAATTATTAAAACATTATACATTCACTCTCTTACTTTTGTTCTGTTTTTTCTTGCACTATTTGTATTGTTTTATTGTTTTTTCTCTTATGTATATATTTATCTTCATAGTTTGAGGATGTGTGCATAAGACAAGAAAGCCTTGAATGTTAACCTATACTTTATTATTTTTTCTGTTAATGTTAATTTATGTTTCCATTACATTTTCAAAGCAAAATATTGTATTTATTACAGCACATAATTAGCCTATAAAATAAAACATACTGTAAATTATTTAGCTAACATTGTGGTTGTTTTTAACCTTTGACTCCTTAAATATGCACTTAGCAAAGCGCTATAAAACTACCATGTATTTATTTATTTATTTTTACATGAATATAAATGACCTTCTCATAATTAAGAAATGTATCATCAGTACCTAGATCTTTAGAGAGTGACTGATTTTAACATGTCATACATTAAGAGACATTTCATGCAGTGATACTAGTAAGTAGTAATAATGAGAAGTCATGTATTTGTACCTCAGTATTGAAATGAAATGTTCCAGAGAGCTGTTCTGCTCTGCTGCCAGGACGAAATGCACCCTGACAGAACATAAATATTGTAAACCTCAGCAAGGAACTTTTTTCAACGCCGCCTGAAAACCCAAAGAACTCCTCGGGTTATTATTGAGCCTGACTCCAAGTTTATACAACACGATAAAGACATAGACATAAGACATGTTACTGCAGAGAACATTTTCATATTTTCTCATTTAAATGCAGTTACACAACGTTAGAAAAATGAACAGTTTAGGATTTTATCCAAAGCAATCTGTGGTCCAATATCTTTCCCAAGGACACTTTGATATGCAGTCTACAGGGGATCGAACCAAAGACCATCGGATTTATAACCCATCTCCTCCTGAGCTACAGCTGCCCCCCCCCCCCCCCCCCCCTCGCACCTCCAAACAGAGCCCCCCCACATATCAAATCCCAATTTATCCCCTGGTAACAACCATTAAACACACAAATATGCCTTAATGGGTAGAAACTTTAAAGGGACCCTGTTGTGCTTGTGGGGGGTGTTTCCTTCATCCTGTAGTGTGTTATATGGGTTTTGTGCATGTAAATGGTCTGCTAAGGTTAAAATCCCTGTGTTCATGGACTCCTTTGTTTACTTCAAGAACATAGTGACATCACTATGTAACACTTGCCTTCTATTGGCTAGCACTCCAACACATTGTATGTGATAGGCTAAGTGGCGGGACATCTCTAATCGGTTAACCAATCACAACAGAGCCGGCCAGCTAACCAATCAGAGCAGACTGGGCTCTGGTTTCAGACAGAGGGTGAAAAGAGGTGCTGCAGCACAGGCAGTATGAGAAAAGTAAAGAGCTTTTTGCACGTTGAAGCATGGAGACATGTCACAGGAGAGACACTACATACTGATATACACCTGAACATCATCAGGAGAGGACTCTTTAAAGTAGAGACACTACATACTGATATGAACCTGAAAATGAGCAGGATATGTCCTCTTTAAGGAGGATGGTGAGGAGAAGAAATGGTAAAAAGGTGTCATTTTGCAGTTAGACTCTGTGTCCACAAGATGGCGACTTTGTCCATCTCTAGATGATCTGATTAAGTGTTAATTAAGCTTTTAGTTTATTTACGACAACCTCAGTGTCTCCAATATTGCAATGACTGTCTGTTTCTGTAGAAGACTTGGGATTTTAAACTGTAAATGAAGTTATATAAACAGTATTTCAAGCTGCTACTTGCATACTTCTACTTTAAACTGCATAGTTATCAGACACCTTTTTATTTATAAAAACACATGCTATGCTTGAATGACATAATACAGTATTGTACTAATCTATTCACCATTTGTTAAAGTATTTAAAATCGTCTCAACATGAAAAACTACACGATTAAAATGAATTTTACTTTTTATTGAGCAGTCCTATTTTCTCATTACTTTTTTACTTTTACTTAACGTGAAAAACCGGAACTACTTTTTCAACACTAAATGAGACATTTATTTTGAAAAACAAAAGTTGACGGAAGTCATTGCATTTGATATTTAAACGCCCCCCCCCCCGGGCTGTTACCCCCGCTGTTCCTCCATCCATCCATTCCTCCCGCCTCTGCTTTCCCATCAGTCTGCCTCTTGTTACCCGCTCATCTCACCTCATCCCCGGCTTACTTCTCCAAGAAACACCGCTCTTTCTAACTTTATCTGTGGAGCATTTGTGGAGAAAATGAGTCCCCGGTACCGGAGCTGGTTGTGGTTCTGGTCGTGCTTGCTGAGCCTGAGTGTTTTGACCCATGCTTTGGAGCTGGAGGAGCTGTTTGAGTTCGGAGAAGAAGCCGGAGACCAGCAGCTGACACCCGGGTCCGACTCCACCGCAGAGCTGCCTCTCAACGGATCTCTGTACTTCTTCGGCGACACCTTCCACAAAGTTTATGTGAGTCCAACACCCCGCAGATTGTGCGTTTAACGAGACTGAGACCGGATTTCATTATGAGGTTCATTCATAAAAGTTGAAGAAGTGTGCAAGAATCAGGGGGAAAGAGCAGGAGAACATAGAGGAAACATCCAAGGTGGTTTAGGCTGTTTTGCATGGGGAAAAGTTGATCAACTCCAGTAAAAACTTAATTAGCAGAGTTTCCAAGTTGTACAGTTAATTAAGACAATAAGTGAATCAGCATTTCAGATCCAACTTTAATGAATGAATTTCTTAGATTTCTGCAGGTTTTTTCCTCTGTTAATCATTTATACCACTTACAGTTAAAATAAAATGCTTTGAAATGTTTTCAGTGCCACAAATTGATCTTATAATGGCACACATATATATTTAAAATCACATTTGGTCTGTTTCCTAGCATGATACACATAATAGCAAGTATTTCGACTTGTTTTACTTGGAAGCAAACATAACAAAGGAAGATAATTTAAACGTTTTTATCCCAGAAATCTCCTTTACTATCTTATATCTGTAATATATGGATTATATAGGTTATGGTGGCATGTGATATGTAACTTTTAGGAGAAAACATTCTACATTTTTAGGTCAAACTGACAGAAATCTTGCCTTAACTCTACACTTGACTCTGATACTTTGATAAATACATTCAAAAGAGCATATTTGAGAGCATTTTGGCTTTAATTTCTGTTTAACATTTGGCTATGTATATTAAGAAAAACACATTTATTTGAACTATTTTTAAGCTTTTAATGCAATATTTTTCTGAGGCTGCCATTCTCACCTTTATTCAGTC